ATTAGTTATCGGATAAATAAAGCCATCAATCCGACTACTTAATTAATATATTTATTTTGATACCATTGATTATTTCTGGCTCGATCACAATAAAACATTTATTTGACAAAAATAATAATTTAAATAAATAAATATATAATAAATCATTTTGTCTAAAAACACACGAAGGCCTTCGAATTTACTTTGTGATCAACCATAATCAATACAAAATAAATACAAGTAGTAATGATACAAATATTGAAAATATAACCCTCTAACTATTAATTACATAACAAACCAAAGTGTCGGTCTAAGGATCCCGAAGAATCCGCCGAACAAATTAAAGTAATTATTAATTAATAAAAGAATTTATACTTTTCTCATGCTTAAGAGTCAAATGCCATGACAGTGACGGGGAGAAATTGCATACGACGGCTCTCGCAATATATCTCAACCTAACGCGGATTCAGTTTAAGTCTTAATTAATTATGAGTCCATCCATAATTACCGACTATGAACAATTTATGATTACTATTTATAATCATGCATTGATCGCCATCACATACATATATAAATATCTCTTGTAATCAAGTGGACACTTTCAATTCTATAATGAATCGAAACATAATACATTGAATTCACCAATTGTGTAAAGCATAAATATTTCAGAAATGTCAGGAACATATGTCACTATAATCCAGATAGGAATTTGCTATGCCAGGGCATATAAATCCCAACAAGCTGATCATGAACATATTTCTTTCAGGGCAAGAACAATCCGTGACGCAGCTATGTTGTTTTTCAAAGTGTTCCTTAACTATAGGTTTAAAAGTAATATTCCAATATAAGTCAATTTAATCTTTCTTTCTGTTGATCGAAGAACAATAAGTCTTGAGTTAAGAAATAAATAGTTGAAAGTTGAAACATTTGGACTTTCTGATATCATCGTATATCTTTGCATAATTTCCATATATATATATATATATATATAAGTTAAAACATTTGGACTTTCTGATATCATCATATATCTTTTCATAATTTTCATATATATATATATATGGAGGGCCGTGATATTAAAGTATAATAGTCTGACCTACTTGTTAGGCAGAATACACGTGGCGGTCTAGTTGGCAAAAAATTAATCCCATTTGGATCAACATCATCACAAATCGTCTATTCATCTTCTCGAACAAACTTATATGAAGACCGGCCGTCATCGACACCAAATCTCGACGGCGACTACAGATCACACACGCGATGGCGGCATCAAAGAACCTTAGATCGCGACTGTTACAAGCATTGATCGCAACTTAGCCGGCGATGATGCTAGAAGCAGCAGCAATAATAAGGACGACGGGCAACAACGTGGATTCCGACTGGGGTTTTCGGCGGCAGTACAGGCTAAATCGGCAAGCAAATATGATGACTGAACAGTTGTTATTGAACTACGAGTAAGGACCAGAAATCTGACAACGACGTGGTGGTGATGGTGATCCGATTCTGGCGACAGTGACGAGAGAATAGTATCGGGTCTTGGTGGTTTGAATGGTTTTATTTGTTTGAATGGTATGTTTGTGGGTATGATTGGTGGGGATTTGGGTTTGCAAGTGGTTGATTGGTGTAGTTGGAAATCTGAGGGAATGAAACGGCCGAGTAAGCGAGGCTTATGGTAGACGACGGAGTCAGAGGTAGAGACAGAGGGTAGTGGCTCACGGTTTGGAAAGAGAAAATTGAGGCGGCAGAGACTGATGACAGCAATACCGACCAAGAACAAAATATCAATGAATTAATTTCGCGATTCGAAAGAGAGAAAAAAAATCGCTAAGAAGAGGAGAACAACACAGTCTCAGCTTCTCTCCGGTGGCTGTGAGTTTCATTTTGACATTCATCACTGATTTAGTTCTAGCACCTGAGATTCTGGCCATGCTCTAGTAACCGTGAGTGTCAACATGAACAACACCTACGGCGAGAACTTGTTGGTCCGAAGAGTTTAAGGACAACGGGGGAGATTGTCATGACGTGGCTGGCCACGTCTGTTTCGGTCTAACAAAACTGTCAAAATGATCGCCCTAATATCATTTTCCATAAATATATCCTTTGAGAGTAACTGCTAAACACAGTCGCGCAAGGGACTGTCTATTCACAGTCGCACCTCTTATTGGCTGGAAAATTAATTATAGAAGATGTAATTAATGCGACTTTTCCTATTTTATTGGAACTATGAAATTTTAACTTTTATGACCAAATTACCCTTTTATATTTATTCTTTCTTTTATATCCTACTTGTATGTGTTCACCTATATAATCTTTGATTCTTTCTTTGCTTACATATTTTATTCTTTTCTCTCTCTCTTTTTTTTTTTTTTTCAAATGTTTTTAACTATTTATATACACAGGTTTCTTACTGTTTCTCCCCTCTAGATCCATATTAAAGAGAGAGAGAAAAATAAATCTTATGTAAACTGGTTGTTTCTTTTCTTTTCTTTTTTTCCTTTTTTTTTTCAACTATTTTCTTTTCTTTGTTCACAGACATATATAATAATTTACTGTGAATAGATTAGAAAACCATACTTCTCTTGTTTCACATATTAACTAAAACTCAAATTTTATAATATTACTTCAATTAAAACTTAATCTCATACTGTTATTTCAATTAAATTACATAAAATCCAATAAAAAATCCATCAAGGTGGAATATATATATATATATAACACAAGTGAAAAAAAGAAAGAAAGAAAGTAAATAATGAAATATAGCTATATATATCCAATCAAGAAAGAAAAGAAAAAAGAAAAAAGAAAAAAAGAAAAAAGAAAAAGAAGAAGACAATTGTTAAAAATAAAGGAAAAAAATAAAAATAATATATGTAACAAAGGAAAGAAAGAAGGTTATTATGTATAAAGAAAGAATAAATAATTTAAAAGGGTAATTTGGTCTTAAAGTTGAAGTTTTAAAATTTTAAAAAATTAGGAAAGATACATTAATTATAACTTATTTTTTAACCAATTAGAAGTGCAACTGTGAATGGACAGTGGCTTGCGCGACTGTGTTTAGCATTCCTCAATAATTAACTAGTGGCAACAATTGAAATAAAAAGGAAATAAATAAAGGCAGTAGTGTGTGTGTGCGCGCGCGCGCGAAATGTAATGAAAAATGATTTAAAAGATAGTTTTGTCTTAAAAAGGTAAGTTTTGTCTTAAAGTAGGTTATATATTTCACGTTCTTTGAGAATAGAAAAAGAATAATTAATGAGACTTAAATAAGCCAATGAGATGAGCGACTGTGAAAGGATAGTCGCTCTTAGCATTCCTCCTATATATAATTCAGTTCAGGGGTTTGTAATCCTTTTTTGAATTTTGTGACTTAACACATTTTATGGCTTGCAAACCCATTTTTCACTCTCTCACCTAATATCAACGATGTGTAAGTGTGTGTATCTGGACTCAACCCCGCTTGAAAAATCTTACCTTTAAACAACTCCGCCTCAACCACATTCCCCAATTTACAATGCCCATCAATCATTGATTTAGACAAAAAAAAAAAAAAAAAAAAAAAAAAAAAAAAAAAAAAAAAAAACGGTGAACCCGAACTGGAACAACGGCTGAAGCTTGCGATGGCGAACGGCGAATCCGAACTGGAATAGCGGGCGATGGAAACTGAAAGATATGAGTTTTGATTTTTTGAACAATTTGAAATGATATGCCGATATGGGTTTTGAACTTTTGATTTTTGCAACAGATAGATAAACTAAAATATATGGATTTTGAACTTCTAATTCTTGTATTTTGCAGTTGGAGAGGGGGGGGGGGGAGTTGAGAACGAGAACCGCCATGGAGGTGGACCCTAACACCCATAGATTTGCCCTAATGATATATGGTGCACACACACACACAATATATATATATATATATATATATATAAATGACAAATTTATTTATTTTTTAAAATATGAAAGGGCATGTTTGGTTTTAGATTTAATTATATTTAAGTTTAGGTTATCCCAATTTTATACAATTTGAGGTTTATATTATCCTTCTGCCAAACAAATCTCATTTTATACAAATTTGGATAAAATGGTCATTTTACATGGCCTGTATTTATAATCATTAATTTATTCAACTGAAGTGAGGGTATCATCGTCATTTTACACCACCAGGACCTGTTCACATCAAATTGATAATATAGGGATTTTTTTTTACCACACAGGAACTGATATGCACTATATCGATAGTAGAAAGATTTTTTTTTGCACTTAACCCTATTTTAAATTAAAAATTTCAATTTTCAGCACACAACTATAACTTTAAACTTAAAATACACAAGTGTAAAATATGCAAGCATGATAACTTTATATGTTACCGTACGTCACAATGAATAAATTTTTTTTCGTTGCATTTTATTATTTGATCACCATATATTCCTCTGTCTCAATAGGCATAACCTATTCTTCCGACTCCAGGATGATTTATCATCGAGAAATAAATTAATAATACATTTATATTATACTTCTTAATAATTATTATATTGTATTATATACAAGTAAATAATAAAATTGACGTTATATAGAATTTGCACACCTCAAATTTCAATAAGGGCAAATTAATAAATGTTGATCTGTCGATTCATGTATAATTTGCCCAAATTTGTAATTACTGGTAAAATATCAAAATTGTCATTATGATCATCACGGAGTTGTATAAAGAACATGATCTCCAATCAGATGCAACTCTATTAAGTCCCGTAAACCGTCGGTTTAGCCTTTTTCAAGGCAACTCCTCATTTATATTGGTGTCCAAGTACTACTAAGAGAGGATTGTAGTCCGCCAACACCGACGTACAATCATTTACAACTTATAATTTGCCACGTTATCCATTTATATTTAATCTATTTCCCTATTTTAACGTGGCAAATTCTAATTTGTTTTGGTTTGGTCCACCATAAGAGTATTAATATAGAAAGAAAAATGTGCCCTTCTTTTAATTCCGCAATTTACCCCATTCATGAAATAAGATGCCGATTATACCCCCATCGAATCAACAAAACTCAGAGAGAGCGTTCTCGCTTGAACCAGTATTTCGAGAGAGTCTCTCTCCTCTGCAGAAAATCATTGTCTTCTCTCTAGTTCTTCACAATTTCTCTCTCTAATTTTACTCTCAGATTCGTGGATCGGACGACCAGCCTCTCTCCGCCCATGACGATGATAACTCCTCCACCGTTGGATGTACGTTGTCAACTCTCCTCTCCATTTCCCCCAATCTCCTCCACTTTATGTACCGGAACAATCTGAATTTTGTTTTCCGTGCATCGTTCCCCTCTATGAATACATATGTATTTGTGTATATGTATATATTTCCATTTTAGTGGTACTGGTTGGAGTCTGGTTGAAGTTTTGTCGACTTCGTGATCGTTTAGGGTTTTGGTTTCTATTGGGAGGTTTTGAATTTAATTCAGTCTCTCAATTTTCATTGTGCCTATGTTGGAAATTTTGGGGTTTTATTTAAGTTCACAAGGTTGGGGTTTGGTGGATCAGACTCTGATTTGCTATTTGTTTTGCAGCAAGAAGACGATGAGATCCTTGTGCCACATTCAGAGTTTGTTGAAGGTCCACAACCCATAGAAGGTCCTCAGCCCATGGAAAGTACGTTGTCAATGTCCTTGTATATATCTTTAAGTTCACGAATTTGTATTCGATTTATTGGTTTTGAACATTTATTTTTGTGTGTTTTGATTAGCACAAGCTGAAACTACTAGTACTGTGGAGAACCAGCAAAATGATGAGCCTCAAACATCTAGGTTCACGTGGACAATTGAGAACTTTACTAGGCTGAACACCAAGAAGCTCTATTCTGATACTTTTGTTGTTGGCAGTTACAAATGGTAATTGAATGTCATTCACTTGATTTAAATTATTGATGCCCTGTAGCACACCTTATTGAATATGTTCTGATTGATTCTTTACTTGCATTCCTTTGGTCAGGCGGGTTCTTATTTTTCCGAAGGGAAACAATGTGGATCATTTATCTATGTATTTAGATGTGGCAGATTCGTCAACGTTGCCATATGGCTGGAGCCGATATGCACAGTTCAGCTTGTCTGTGGTTAATCAAATTTATCCCAAGTTCACAGTAAGAAAGGGTATATTCCGCAACTCCAACTCTTCTGTTTTGATTACCTAATTAGACCTTCTTTCACAGATTCATGTTTATCTCTTAGTTCGTGAATTTTTTTTTGGGGTTATCATATATTTGTTTTGCTTCAATTCATTCTTATGTTTCTTGCAATAGAATTATTTGTTGTTGTAGTTGGCTTCTGCATATTATTATAAGAAAAGATTTTCCTACCCATTTTCCTCCTTTTAAATAGCCAACATTTATGTGTGTACCTTGTAACCTAGCATTTTGCTCCATGCCCAAGGCAATTTTATTTTTTATTTTTTGTAAGTAAAACTTCACTGAAGGACCCTATAAGGGGAGTGTACCTAAAGGAACAACAGCACAAAAGAATATATCACTATACCCTTAAGCTATCCAAAAAACCAACTAATCCTTTACAGATATACATAATCTTTAGTACCCAAATCAGTGCTTTCACACCATCAAAAGATCACCGATTCCCCTTATTCCCCAATTCCCACCATATGCAAAGCGGACTGACCCTCCATGCATCTTGAGGCAAGCTCGCCTTGCCACTGTACATCCCCTCCAAGAGTCAAGAACTTCTGTAGTAGAAGCCAGCAAAACCACTGTTAAAGAAGACCAAATTGTTGATAGTAAAAATCTTTGCTAAAGTCAAAGACTGCCACCGCGAGAGGCATTTTAATTCTCCAAACCGTTTTCCACGAAATACTGTTCCTGGCTCTCCCCAAAGGACCTGATCATTTCTGCATCCTACTTTTGAATGAAAACTAAGCTTTTGATGGAAGAAAAGGAATGACTAGTGAGTCAACAAGCCTTACATGCACAGTTGGTTAAAAGTGTTTCGCCATGTCCCTTAGTTGAGTCAATGTTGATGGAATCTAACCACAAATCTCCCATGTTTAGATCTCATCCAACACCACCGATCATCTCCATCCTAGCCACTGGCTGTTGGTAAATCAAATCAAAGAAGGCTAAGACCTCCATTTTCCAATCCTGATCCGGTTTGCAAAACCGACCACGAGCATCCACTATGTCGCATTTCTATGATCAAGATGATAACAGTCTGCCACCATGCTATATTTATCAGCTACAATCCTAAATTGTCTCAGAGATAGACATGCCAGAGGCCTATTATCAGACCAAACATACAGCCCTTATAAATGTTTTTCCAAAGACCCACTCCCATTGATCTCCGCATCTCCCTAGAGCACCAACTGCCTCAGTCGTCACCAACATATCTCCACAACCACTTCCCTTCAATGCTTGATTAAATAGCTTGAATTTTTGGATTCCTAATCCTCCCATCTGAGGGGATAGCACACCTTCTCTGAATTGACCAAATTATATTTGAATTCATCTCCCTATTATCCCCACAAAAAGTTCTTTTGCAACTAATCAATTCTCTTCACTAAAGAAAAAGGAATCTGAAACAGAGGAAGGTAGTTGGCAGGTTCGAGAGAGTGCTCTTAACATGAGTAGGACATCCGTCCTTTTAAGAGAGATTGCTTCTTCCACCCTGCGAGTATTTTCTTAAACCTGTCCACCACCAGGTCCCAAGCAGAAGAAATCCTCAACGGGGCTCCCAAATGTAAACTTAAATGCGTTGCAAGAAAAGCTTCTACATCACACCCCAAAATATTAGTTAGCGCAAGAATATTATTAGCCTCCCCCAGCGGAACTGACGCTTTTTCTGATATTGATCTTTAGTCCTGGCACAATTTGGAAGCAAATCAACACACATTGCAGGAATCTCAATTAATGTCTGCAGCATCACAGAACACAATGGTATCATCTGCAAAAAGGAGATGAGATACCTTCAGCTGATTGCTTGCATTCTTCTTCACTTCAAACCCCTGGATGTAGCTGAAAGCTTCAGTCCGTATCATTGCCCTACTGAAAGCCAAAATGAATAAGAAAGGGGACAATGATCATCTTGTTTCAGTCCTCGAGAGCTACTGAATAATCTTGCCCAAGATGCATTCGCGAAAATTGAGAATTTGACTGTTGGGATGTGAAGTGAATCCAAGGAATTTAGCTAAACATTTCCCGCCATGCTAATAGGCCTAAAGCCCTTTACGTCCATGGCTCCACCCTTTTCACGATTAAAGCTATAAATGAGACAGTGATACTCTTCTCGAATTGACCATGCTCATGGATATTGCATAAAGTTTCCATTACCTCCTGTTTCTGTTGAAGAAAAGCCTCGGTGAATCCATTCGGCTCCAACACCTTGCCCCCATTGCAACTCTTCAATACCATCTCCTTTTCTTCTTCTACAAATGGTCTCTCCATCCGCTCTCTATCCTCCTGAAATGTTATCAAACTCTTGGCCATGCAACAAAGGTCTCCAAGAATAATGTCATGCAATTAAGTAAAATTGTACCCAGTGCACAAGGCTCCCGGATGGTAGACAGCCTTACTTATTTATTTCTAGGGATGCTGATTCCGTGACTTGAACCCATGTCACTGTCGCCACCGCGGGGGGTTGGAGGTTTGATGTGGACTACTTGCACTCTATACATGAAGCAGCTACATCTCGTGCAAGTTGAGATGCAGGAGCGGTAACATTCTTCATCCAATGAGTACTAATTGTTGGGGTAAGAATAATAGTTAAACCCACTTCATAAAACACCTCAAGAGATATTGAAGAATTCTTCTACTAAATCCTTGAGTGTTTTACTGTTTATATTGAATTAATTTACACATAAAATACACACAATTTAGTTTATCCTACATTTCATTTGCACATGCATCATTTATGCTCATTTTCTAGTTCAGTCGAGACACCTGGGCAGTAACATTGTTTAGTTAGTATGTAAAAAATACAGATTCAATCTGGTAGATTTATAAGGGAATCAAGCATAAATTTGACTGTTAGTAATCAATTTCTGAAACTAATTGGATTGATCCAATCAGAACAGCTTTCAGAAAAGAAAAACCTCTGATGACAGATGGATTGCTGTTATTAAAATTTGATTTGATTACAAAAGTATCAAAGCTGAAATTGTTTATTTTGGGCGGGTCAAAGAGACCTACTATTGTGGAGTTTTATGTTGTGGAGTTTGTCTGACTGACAGAAAGTATTCCTAGTTCTCACTTTCTCCTGGCTCATTCTGATTACCTGTCGATTATATATTAGACTTGCATTTGATATCAACATTTTCACTTGGAATTTTCAGAAACGCAGCACCAGTTTAATGCAAGGGAGAGTGATTGGGGCTTTACATCTTTCATGTCTTTAAGTGATCTTTATGATCCCAGCAAAGGGTATCTTGTGAATGATACATGTATGGTTGAAGCTGATGTTGCTGTTCGTAGGGTCATTGACTATTGGTCATATGACTCTAAGAAGGAGACTGGTTATGTTGGACTTAAGAACCAAGGAGCAACTTGTTACATGAACTCACTTCTTCAAACTCTGTACCATATTCCATACTTCAGAAAGGTTAGAATATGTCTCATGTTCTTGTCTTAAAATTAGCAATTTATGTCACCGATTTATTTAGGAGGCAATTTCTCATTTTGAGCTAACGTCTCAGGCTGTGTACCATATGCCAACAACAGAAAATGATATGCCCTCAGGAAGCATTCCTTTGGCCCTGCAGAGTTTATTTTATAAACTCCAATATAGTGACACCAGCGTTGCAACAAAAGAGTTAACCAAATCTTTTGGATGGGACACATATGATTCTTTCATGCAGCATGATGTTCAAGAACTTAATAGGGTTTTGTGTGAAAAGCTTGAAGATAAGATGAAGGTATGGTTATTCAGCAGCTGCAGCCCTTCAATGTGCATTTTGATGTTCCTATAAGAAAAATATTTGTATTGTATTGGTGAACTGATTGTTGCTTTGCTGGAACAGGGAACTGTTGTGGAAGGGACAATACAGCAGTTATTTGAAGGGCACCATATGAACTACATTGAATGCATCAATGTGGATTTCAAATCCACGAGAAAAGAATCATTTTATGGTATTTACTGTGCTGAAGTTTAGACTGTCCAGGGTTGTTATTGCAGTGCATGATGCTGATTGAAAATTTTCTTATTGCAGACCTTCAGCTTGATGTCAAAGGCTGTCGGGATGTTTATGCTTCTTTTGACAAGTATGTTGAAGTTGAACGTCTTGAGGGTGATAATAAATATCATGCTGAAGAACATGGGTTACAGGTTTGTTGCTATTTGTTTGTCAGAAAAATATGTTTAACAGAATCATACTCTAGAGCTGTCAAAGCAAAATAAAGAAATGATCATAAGTTTACCACACTGAAATAAAGAAACTAGTGGTGCTATGATGAGCAGTGTGACTTGGAAAGGCAAGTGGCCATTCTTATATTATGAAACTTTGTAAGTTCTCAAGAGGCAATTCTGTGGAACTGGGAACTGGGTCAGTTAACTTTGCACTTTAAGTTACCAGGAAAAAAAAGTTCGATAAATAGTTGGTTTGAGGATAGTGTCCAAAATTAGCGGGGTTTTCATCAAATCAGCAGTACATGTGACAGGCTGATTAAACAGAAACAGATATGGATTATAGCTGGTTGAACCAACTTTGAAGTTTTAAACTCATAGAACCTATTTAAGATGGTAGAATTGAAGGAAAAAGTGGATTTCTTGTTGAGGTAGGAGTCTGTTCTTCATTTTCCGTTCTGCGACTGCCGAAGTCCGTTTTGTGCTTTCTGTTACATGGTTACTTGTTTGTGTTGGTCCATGTTTGTGTAGTTCCCTTAAGTTTCATTGACCATTGAATTATTATTATTATTATTATTTTTCTTCTTTGAATCTAGTTCTGAAGTAAAAAATCTCAAATTTTTATTTCAATTTCAGGATGCTAAGAAGGGTGTCTTGTTTATTGATTTCCCTCCAGTTCTTCAACTTCAGCTTAAGCGATTTGAGTATGATTTCATGCGGGATACAATGGTAAAGGTCAGTATTAGGAAATTGTTCCTGCTTTATGTGTTCTTTCTTTTTAAATTTTATTAAAATGTTGAGGTGCAGGTTTTGCATACCTCCTTTTGTTTTGAAGTGTGATTTAACCATGCATCATACACTTTGTTTCGAGTCTTTCGACGCTGCATATAGTATCATATTCCAGCCTACCTGCTTTGGTCTTGTTTATGCGCCACGATATAACTTTAAGTATCAGTAGAGTTACTGAAATTGTCACCGAGATGAATTTATTAAATTTTTTTTTAACATAGTAGATAGATGTTCCACTTGAAATGAATTGGTCAGTTTTGTTTTGCATGGCACCCGAACAATTCGGTTTAAATTGCAGAACTTAGAATATGGCAGTTTTTTGTGGAGACATGACTGTAAAGAAAATAAGGTTGGGATGAGATTATTATTTAAGTACCAAATTCGTTTATCAGAGAAACAGCTGTCAGAAGTAAACAAGTAGATTCATTTAAAGCTCTGAAACACATAATGGACTTGTTTTGAACTTAACAAAACAAAGCTCTGAAAGACTGAAACACATAATGGACTTGTTTTGAACTCAACAAAACAAAATTAAGTGATTCGATTCCCATGAGATGTCCAAAAGCATAGTAGCCTTTAGCTTGTTCTGTGATAAGCAATTTGTTAAATCTTATCCAATGGATCTTGTTCTATTCTTGATAATAGATTTTATGAAAAATACGAATCAGAGTTTGAAGAAGGGGAAGGAGAAGTAGCCCTCGACCTGCAACAGATGGAGGAAGATTTATTTAATCACATAGTTTGGGCTCCTACAATATGGCGCCCTCCTGTATACAATCATTGTTAAAATAGCAACGTGTTTCTTTATTTGATATGTCCCATGGGGGAGTCAAATGTTCATTATATTTTATGTATATTCTTTGTTATAATCCATGCTTTCACTGTGCAGATAAATGACCGCTATGAATTCCCTCTTCAACTTGACCTTGATAGAGAGGATGGAAAATATTTATCGCCTGATGCAGATAGGAGTGTCCGCAACCTTTATACGCTTCATAGGTATCATTTCTTAGTGGCATTGCTGCATGGCTTTGAAACCTTTATAATTGTGTACATTGTATTAGAATGAACTCCTTGATCATTTTTCTGGGGAGATATATTTGGATTGTCAACAAACATAGCACAGCCTTAGCACATTTAGGTCACAACAGTGGTTCTTTATTTTCCAGTTTGCTCTACCTAAATCATATTTGTGCCAATTCAAGGTTATAAAGTCTTTTCTCACTGCTTCAATATTTATTTTTTGACCTCTCTTTTCCTTTATAGGACCTTCAATATGTACTCACTAAATTGCTCACATCTACAGAGGCTAACTGGTTCTATCTCATTGCACATAAACAAATTACCTTCATCATCATATCTAACATTTTTATTTGTTAGGCTGCATTGTTGCTTTCATTTATTAACTAGTGCATTACCCACTGTGTATCCCAACTACACGGGTACCAGGAGTGGAACATTGGAGACAGACAGTTTCTTTGGATTATTATATACATAGTCGAGCCAATCCCTATCTTCACTCGAGATCCCTGCAAAATCAAGGCCATCTAGCAACGGTCTCCAGCTAGCAGTCTCCGTGAAAAGCTGCTGATAAAAAGACACAAACCCATTCCGGACATCCTCTGCCCTAGTCACCATAGTCCCGTTGATACGAATCCTGCCAATGTGATTTCCTCTTCTGTTGGAAGAATTTCATGTTCCTATCCCCTTCTTTCAACCACAAGGCTCTGGACTTCTGTCTCCATGAGATTTCCTCCATCACCGCAATCTCCCCAAACTCAGCACCCCTTTCCGATTTGAGAATATGTGGCTGTAAGCCTTTAATAACAATGCCTGGCACTTTTTAATTGGTTATTAGGCTAAATGGAGTTGCACATGTGCTAATGAGGAAAGAACAAAGGGGCACAACAAGCCATTTCTATTAAAGTGAATTGTTTTGGGAAAAATAGAAAGGTGATATGCTGTAGTATTTAAATCCAAGTGCAAGTCATACCTTCCTCTGAATAGTGCATGGAAGAGAGTGAATAAAAAAGAACTTTTGTTTTTTATATATTAAACAAATATATCTCCTTCAGTTTTGCACTACATTTAACCAGGTAATTTTTCTTATCATTTGAAATTTGCACTCCATCTATTTTATTATTATTATTTTGATATGTAGCACTTCATCTATATATGGTAAATAAACACACTTTCTGCCTCCCTCCCTCCCTCCAGGCAAAGAAACAATGTTATTGGAGAGACTTGAACCCTCTACCTTTCACTTTGAACGGAGAGGAGATACCACTAGGCCACAGACCTTGGTGGTCCTCTTGCCATTTCTCTAATGGAGCTTTGAGTTATTTACTTTTTACTTGATCTTTCTTGATTAAATGTATCAGTGTATGACTTTATCATTTAGCTAACTGTGGACTGGTGTTGGAGATGCTATTTGCTGGTATGATTTTAATAATTGTCCGTAAAATATTATCATGCTTAAAAATAAGGAGAAAGATAAGGGGGATGAGCTCTTGCATTGCTTTCTTATGTGGCGAGAATAACCTGTATAAATGTTCCTGTTATTTGATGTCTTTAGAATCTCAATGATTTAGTTTGTTTCTGAGAGTTGTGTACATCTTCTAACTTTCTTTACATGTCTTGTTATTTTTTATTAGTGTGTTGGTTCATAGTGGTGGGGTGCATGGTGGACATTATTATGCTTTCATCAGGCCAACCTTATCTGATCAATGGTATGCATCATATGCACAACAGCTCTCTCTCTCTCTGTATATATATATATATGTATGTATGTATGTATGTATTTATCTGTCTGTCTGTCTGTTTTATCTATTTATCTATCCGTGTATGCGCTGTGCTTGTCTGTTTTGCTTCCCTTGCTTCCTTAGGCTATGTGATTTTATGTTTTCGTTGCATCAGTCTATAAATTTATGATTAAACTGATTTTGAACTCATCATTCATATGTTGCCTTAATTAGATGAAATGCTTCCAAGGCTGGAAAATGTTTACAAATACATCTTTACCTCTTGCACTCTATATCTTTGTCTGATACTCTATTATTACTTGAACTCTATATTGGATACAGTGATGAAGTTTTGCATAATCTGATTTACCCTATTTCTGATTTGACTCTATATAGGGATTGATCTTGATATACGGATGAAATTGATTAGAAAATTTTAGTCACTATAGGGATTCCTTTTTGTCCTAAAAAATTTGAATTTGGAAATACTATTGCAATTGGACAATGCAAATATGTAAAAGTGCAGAGAACAACGGGGAGTCCTTACCAACCAAGATACCTGCCAAATTTCTATGACCCTAGACTGAAAGACCTCATCTTGAAACACCTTGGAGGCTCATAGAGGGTTCCTCAATGGCAACTATATACTTGTTCTCTTCTTATCTTTGAAGTTGGCTTGACCATTAGTAGATCTTGGAATTCATTTGATCTCTAGCTTTGGGAGTGTGATGGGATCCATAATCTATTTCATCCCTTCCTTTGTTATATCTATTCTCGATTAAACAATGGCCAATGTAGTTGATATTGGGGTCTCCCAGAAAAGCTAAGACATATGCTTTTATAGGGGAACTAGTGTTGGTTACTAAAGAGAAGATTAGTGCTCCCACTGATGTCTAAAAAAATGTCCCCACAATAATCTAGGTTGGCTACTTGAGAGAGCTGCCGTTAAAATTTTGATTTTCCCACGGCTAAGGGATTCAAAGTGCCAAAGCAACAACATTTTGAGTATGGAAGAAGCCATGACTATTCAGTCTCTATAATACTGAAAAGTACTCTGTTCTCTAATGATGGACACTCACAAGGATGATAGAAGAGCTCTGTCCTGAATGTGCTCTTTCCTAAGCACACGATCATAAAATTCCTACAATTATGTAGATACTTTGTTTGATTTTGATTTTTAAGTTATCCAAATGATTTCTTTTCAAAAAAAGGAAAACAATGAATTGTTTGGTCTAAACACACACACACACTCCAAAATAAACTCTTTACACCCTATTGTTGTTGTAAGATTGGCTTGTGCAATTGGAATTCTTTTTAGTTATCTGACATGCAAATAACTAAATAGTGACTTTATATGTAGAAGGAATAGGAATCTACTAATTTATGTGAAATGAATTTCTAACCTGATGATCCGTGTTAGTTTTTAATTTATTTATTTTTTATCTCTTCATTCATTCTTATCCGCATTGAAATTCTCAATGAATGATTCTTTAAACCAAAACCAGCAGAAGATTAATATTTGCCAACCCCCAATTTGTAAAATAAAAAATAAAAAAATGAATCAGTAAAAAGAAAATCTCTAAATTATCATCAGATTTCTTTGAAAAAGACAGCTCCAGTGGATTACTGAAAGATGCTATACCAAGAAAAACAAATGGTATGCCATATGTCATTCTCAATTCGGAGAATTGAAGCTTCCTTTCATCTTCTATTAACAGATGAAATAAAATATAACATGTAAAATAGATGCAAATAAGAGGTTAAGGGTTTTTACTAGTATTAGACTGGGTCCATCAGATGGAGAACCCTATATCTTGTGTGCCCTATATCTATCTTCAGTGGTTATGCACCCTCTTCCAATTTAAAGCAAATTTTGATTACGTGGAATCAGAAAAATGAAGCTTTTTTATTGGCCTTTTTTTTTTTTTTTTTTGGGAATTAACTTTTGGTGACATCATCACATTCCTACACCTGCTTCTATAGATACTGCATCTGCCGAAAGAAAAAGAAAAATCCTTTCTTCCGAAACTTGTTATTCCCTTTAATGCTCAATGGATTCTCATATAATTAGGAAGTTGTTATATCCTTGAAAAATTATGGTTTTGGAAGGTCAACCTACACTATGTTCTACTTGCAATTACCCCATCCCCCTTGCCCCCCCAAGTACAAACACTTCTATTTATGCATAAAGGACAAAGTGCCTTGAATTTGCATTGAAGAATAGGCTTAATTATCTGGACAATTAAGTGAGCCTTATGGTGGCCCTTACCTTAGTTCTTCCTCCATTGCAACATTTGGGTATAAAAAGTCCAAAAACATATATATTTATTTTATTTTTTTGACGCCAACACAATCATTGCTTCCTGCATGGTTTCTTTTGTCTGTGTAAAAGGTTCTGAAATTAACTTTACTGCCTGCAGCTTATCGATTTTTAGTTTACTTAGGGCTTGTTCACTTACAGGAATAATTCCTGTTTTCTACTGTCAATTCCTAAAATGTAAAGTAAAAAATAAAAATTGTGTTTATTAATATAATTTTATGTTTCAACTTTTAGAAAGTACTTTCACATTTAATGAAGAAAGGAGAAAGTGAGGATATGTTACTTTCTCTACTTCTTACACTGTACACAGAAAATACTTTTTGTTACTATAGCATTCATTCACCCATCATCCTCGTACCACCCATTTTCACCTGACCATCACCCATCATCCTCTCCCTCTCTATCATCATCATCTCATCCCACCCACCGTCGACAATGGCATACACCACCCACCGTCGACAATGGAAAACACCACCGCCGTACTTTCTATCAGTACTCTCTCTCTCTCTCTATCTGGATGAAGGCAAGACGATGCCGACGAATTTCAGACCACCGGAATCGGAGTCTCTCTCTTTCTCTAAACCACTATAACTTGGAGTCTTTCTCTCTCTCTCAACCACTATAACTTGGAGTCTTTGAATCGCAGTCCATCGTGTTTGCAATAGTTTGTTGGGGCTTTGCTTGAGTTTGGGTTTTCTGGGTTTTTTTGTTGGGTCTTCTCTCTCTCTCTCTCTAAAACTCACTCACTTTCATCTCTCTGTAATCACTATAATCAAACCCAGATTAAACTGTTTTTTTAGAGAGGGAGACCCAATTTGGGCATCGGAGAGGGAGACCCAAGTTCGCATCCACAAGCAGTTCATACTCATTCCCAATCAGTTTGTCCGTGGATTCCGAATTTGGGTTTGATGGGTTTGTTGATGATTCTACTTCTTGATGAATTTGGGTTCAACATATACAAAACAGAAAACCTTAGAATTAGGATCCACATATGTGTATATATATATATAGATATATAGATGTTTAATGGGTTTGTTGGTTTTCTTTTCTTGCTGTTGGTATGTTCTTTGGTAAGAATTGCAGAGAAGGGTATTTGCAGAGAATGAGATGGTTTTTGGTGACGAATTTGGGTTTGATGGGTTTGTTGATGATTCTACTTGATGAATTTGGTTTAAGCATATACAAAACATAAAACCTTAGAATTCGCATCCACAGATGTATATATATATAGATGTTTGATGGGTTTGTTGGTTTTCTTTTCTTGCTGTTGGTATGTTCTTTGTTGAGAATTGCAGAGAAGGATATTTGCAGAGAATGAGATGGGTTTTGGTGAGCAATTTTTGCAAAATCAAAATCATAATTACTGAACTTGATTTCTAATTTTTTACTTTCAAAATATTGAAAGCATAAAATATGATTGAACATGATTCTACTTGGTATTTCAACTTTAGAAATGAAAATTATGATTTTACTTTTGAAGAAAGCAAAAATAAGAAAGCAAAAGCGTTAGTGAAGAGGCCCTAAGGGTAAGAAAATGAACTAAAACTAATTAGACCTTTTTGTGATGTTGTGGCCTGAAGTTGGTGCTGGGTCACGTTGACCCGGTTTTTGCTTGCTGGTTGTGGACCCTATTTAGTACTCTCTTGTAGCCTGATATATAAGGGCGCTTAGGGTTTGGAGTGGGGGATTATTGCGATACACTGAAAATCACAGAAAAAAGAGTGAGAGCGAGAGCTAGGGTTTGGGGGCTGAAACTTGTAATCTCCATATTTTCGCATGGTGAATTTTTTTTGCCAGATCTTCCCCGTGGATGTAGGCTTAGCCGAACCACGCTAAATCTTTGTGATCTTTGTTTGTGGCGTGTTTATTTTCTGTCGTGTTTCTTGATTGTTTCTTGGGTTCGCTGCGTTTGTCGTTAACACATTTATTTGAAGTTCAATTGGTGAGAACTAAAAGGGGGACACCAATGTACATAGGAACTGTACATAAGATATATGTTTTTGAAGTTCCATTGGTGAGAACTATAAGGGGGCACGCCAATGTACATAGGAGCTGCACATAAGTTATATACAAAGCATACTTGCATTTCATCTAAAAACTCTATTACTCCATAAAATATTCCAACAAAGAAGATTCCCAGTAATCCAGAAAAAAGAGAGAATGGATTATGCTATACTAAGAGCAAAAATAGGATGTTCTACCTCTTAAAAGGAATTCCTATCCCTCTCACCCTGAATGCTCCACCAATTAGCAAACACATCCCTCATCAAACTGTACATCATCTGGTAAGCACCAAAGAATAAACGAGAGAGCATACACATTATGGCCACCAGACAATGCATGCAACAAAAATGGATGACCAAATTTTCGTTCCTTTCCTCAAGTTATCAATAGTCAGTCTCTTTCCCAGAATGGATGACTATCGAGGAAAGTGTGTTGTGTCTAAAATGTAAAACAATGGTGTAACTTCTAAGTGATCTAAATGAACTCACCCACTTTACCATGTATTGTTGTAAGCATGCATTGATAGATGTTCTTATCTGCATGCCACAGCCATTCGCGTTCTTCTGACATTGCTTTATATTGAAGAGAGAAAAAGAAGAAAAAATTGGCGGAACCTTCTGGAAACTATCAATAATATTTTATTTTATAGATTTTATCTATTTTTTTTTTTTGATAAGTAAAATTTATTGAAAACGCTCAAAAAAAGGGGAGCGGAACCCATGATAACAAAAAGTCCACAAAGCGCCTTAAATCTTCAACGAGGCCAAAAATACAATAATCTCCTCAATGGATTTATAATCTCTCCCTGACACTGTTAAATGTGACACAATTATCTATTTTAGATTCCTAGGAGTTGTCTACCATGCATGCTGTAACATTGTTTACGAATTCTTTTCATGTTAGTTGCTTGAATACCAATGCATCTTGTGTATATAATGAGTGTGCTTGCATGTGTGCATTATAATTGACAACGAACATTAATGTCAATTTATCTTTGAGATGCAGTATAATTGTGGTTTTTCTGATTTCCCTTATCTTTTAGGTTCAAATTTGATGATGAAAGGGTAACAAAAGAAGATATGAAAAGGGCATTGGAGGAGCAGTATGGTGGTGAGGAAGAGGTAAATTTTTTACAAGCATTACTTTAGATTCTCTTATATTTCAAATTCTTGTCTTGGTTATGAATTCATCTTCATGTCTTCTTCTGCCATTGTCCAACAGTTGCCTCAGACAAATCCTGGTTTCAATAACACTCCATTCAAATTTACTAAATACTCAAATGCATACATGCTTGTGTATATACGTGAGAGTGACAAGGAGAAAATAATATGTAATGTGGACGAGAAAGACATCGCGGAACATCTTAGGGTAAACTTTCTGGATTTGTTGAAGTTGAAATGAAATTTACAATTTTCTGTTTTGTGCATATGTTGGTGTGCATGTGTTTGGACTTGGATCTAGATTATCACATATAATCTTCTCCTTCAGATAAGGTTGAAGAAAGAACAAGAAGAGAAGGAGGACAAGAGAAGATATAAAGCAGAGGCCCACCTTTATACTATTATCAAGGTTACAACTTCTTGCCTGAAAAATTTTCCATGGTAAATTGTAGCAATGAGTTCTATTCTCCTCACTGAAGCAATTAATTTATACTTCTAGGTTGCCCGCGATGAGGACCTGACAAAACAGATTGGAAAGGACATATATTTTGATCTTGTAGACCATGACAAAGTTCATAGTTTCCGTATTCAGAAACAGATGCCTTTTGAACTTTTTAAGGTACTGTTTACTTTTATTATTCCAACTGAAGGATGAAAGTTTCATGTGTTCCATTGCTAACAAGAATTCCAGTTTTGTGTTTATCTAAGCTTGACCACTTGTTATATTTAATTGCATGTGATTAGGGCTTAAATTCAACTCTAGATATATTGAAGGTTTATCTGAAATATTAGATTACTTGGTGTTTATTTAAACTTTTTTCGTGGGTTCTTTTGTGGTTGGTAGTGAGCATTCATTTGGCACCCAAAAAAAGGGCAAAAAAAAATTGTGCGTGGGGGGTATGATACTGCATTCTTTAGTCAGTGGAAACCTTGTTTACATTTGCTAACAAAGGACTGTGTATTTTTTACTTGCAAAAATATTATATATACACACACATATATAAGATGACCCTTTCTGGTTTTAAAAGGTAGCCCTAACGTTTCTGGGCATTTCCTCCAAGTATCTGTTTAAAATAAATAAATAAATAGGATGGAGAAAATTCAGAACTTTCATAATCTTTAAAACTGTACAATGTGGCCATGTTGTTTACAAGATTTTGATAAATTTGATTGTGGTAAAAAGAAAGATTGGTGCGTTTCAAATTTGTGATTTTCATATAGGATAGCATTGCCTGTTTTGTTTACTTCTTTGTGTTTCTTAAGATTTGCTTATTGATTATTTGTCATTCGAATTTTTAGACTGCCTCTTAATGTTACATGCTGTGGTTGCAGGAGGAGGTTGCTAAGGAATTTGGCATTCCAGTGCATCTCCAGCGTTTTTGGATCTGGGCGAAGAGACAAAACCATACTTATCGCCCCAACAGGCCATTGACACCCCAGGAGGAAGCACAATCTGTAAATAGTTTTTCACTTTACTTCTGTTCTATTTGTTATCACATGTTTTTGGGCCATGGCTTGATTCAGAAATTAGTGCCTTTTCCACTAATGGTAGCTGGGTGAGGGTTTGGATAATCTGTCTCATTTGGCGATATTGTCTTGGCTTTTATTAGTATATTAGAAAAAGGTGTTGGTATAACGAAATGGGTTACAGATTGTTCTTACCTATTGTTTTTTTCACCACACCTGCACCTTTCAGTGCATTAACTTTTGGGGAAACTGAATTAAATTGTCTGTGGCATCATGACATGAATTGATCTCAAAGTGTTTAGCTCACCAAGCTTCTTTTTATAAATAGGTTTCAATTTTTTAATCCCAGTTGTGCCACAACTAAAGAAGATATCTTTTTCTTTTCTCCCCATACATTAACCTAGTTCTATAATTGTTCTAGTAACTTTATATATGGCGTGATCAGGACATCTGTGATATCTCATTATTGGGAATAAATTTGGCATATAAAAACTAATTTTCGGAAAAGAAATATTTGAGTGTTCTTTTGGAAGACAGAGTGAACCATTCCGGAATTAATTGAGAGAATGCTTAGGCTAAACATGATCCTGAAACATGAACAGTTATTCTCTAGGAAGCACGGACACGCCAAAATGGGCGAAGAATCTATGTCCGGCACGGACACGCCCCGACACGTGTCGGACACACCAAAAAACGTGTCTGGAATTTTTTATTTTAATTTTCGGACACGGCACGGACACTCCGCAGACACGCATCCGACACGCCAGGGGGGTGTGTCCGACATGCGCGTCTGGAATTTTTTTTTTAAATTTTCGTACTACCCTTTTGGTATTGTAAATGGTAAAAGTCCTAGGTCAAATGATGGATGGGAATAGATGATAGTACACTGACTTGTTTTTGTATCTTTTTTGGGGACTAGCCTTTAGGTTTTTGTGAATGTTAAGTGCTAACAGTAAAGTCATGAATGTTAATAGCCCTTTCTGTCTATGCTTTTGTATTTGGAGAAAAGTTGCAATGATGATTAAATGATACTAGTTATTATTCTAATGGCTTGTTTTTTATTTGGTTTTATAACTGAAACATTGTTCTTTTATAGTTTATTAGTTATTAGTTATGATTTGTGTTTTTTTTTTCATTGTGAGGTTGATGAAAAATAGCAACACTCAGTAATTTTTAAAGTACTACATCATATATATATATACTATTTGCCGTGTCCCCACCATGTCCGTGTCCTAATTTTTTTGGATTTGCCGTGTCGCCGTGTCCGTGTCGCGTCGTATCCGTTTCCCGTGCTTCTTAGGTTATTCTATTTAGCATATTTTATATGACCTTTTTGATTCTATTGAGGGAACTGGGACTGATTCATTCTTGATGTTCTTATTAGTCACTCTGTTCTTTTGGCTTGTGTCTTAGTCTTGCCATCCTTCAGTTTTTGGAACCAGATCTTCTGTTTTCAAACACGAACTTGCATGATCGTGTTTCTGGCACATGTTTCGGTAATCATGCCATCAATGAAGCCAAACCCTTGTAATATTTTATGCAGAGTTTAAGCCGTTGATGCTTATGCAATTTAAAATACTATTTTTTGGTTCATCCATGTATTATATTATCTCCAGATCATTTGTACAATGAGCCTATTGTTGATTCTTTTGCAATAAAAAATTGCATTGGTGTAGGATTAGTTCTCTTACTATGGTGAATGTTTTAACAGCCGGATATGTTGGATCCAAATAATTTGTTAATAAGGTCTGGGGATTCCCCCCCAAAAAAAGGTGTGGGCATTATTTGAGTTAACTCTTCATATATAGTTGAACTATAGTTTCTAGAAGGTATTACTGTGAAAAGTTCTGGTTGCTTGTAGAGTTTAATTGGACCACAGTGAATTATTTCACCTGCATCGATGGTGTGGGGATTATTAGAGTTAACTCTTCATATATAGTTGAACTATAGTTTCTAGAAGGCGTCACTGTGAAAAGTTTCTGGCTGCTTGTAGAGTTTAATTGGACCACAGTGAATTATTTCACTTGCGTTGATCAATTTAATCATGCATGATTATATTACATATATTTGCTATGACCTAGTCGATTCTGTTGAGGGAACTGGCACTGATTCTTTCTTGATGTTTTTATTTGCCACTCCTCTTTTGGCTTGTGTCTTGGTTTTACCATCCTGCTTCAGTGTTTTTCATCATGGATCCTTCTAAAAATGCTAAAATTTTGACATAATTGAGTGCAGACAGCCCACTTTTTTTCTGAAAGGGGTTGGTTTTGTACTGCTTGAAATGGCTCTCTTATTGAGAAATTGTTTAGTGCTGCCTGTAGAGCTCGCTATACATGCATTAGAGAAGCTAATGGTAATTATTTTTAAATGTAGGTTGGGCAGTTGAGGGATGTTTCTAATAAGACACACAATGCAGAACTGAAGTTGTTCTTGGAAGTAGAGGTTGGGCAGGTAAGGTTGCATTTGCAGTTTTTGCAACTCATTCTATGATATCTTGGCCTTCACACTTGAGAGGCTTTTTGTATTAAATTTCTCCAGCACTCTTATACTGATGCTCTATATGATGCTTCAGGATTTATGTCCTATTTCTCTGCCTGACAAAACTAAAGAAGATATTCTTCTTTTCTTCAAGCTTTATGACCCTGAGAAAGAAGAGCTTCGGTAATCACTAATTCTTTAGTTTTATTTATTCTTTTTCTTTTATTGCAAGCTGTTCAACATTTTAACACGTTTTATGTTCCCAGATATGTTGGTAGGCTTTTTGTGAAGAGTTATGGTAAGCCGATGGAAATTATATCGAAACTAAATGAAATGGCTGGGTTTGCCCCAAATGAAGAAATTGATCTCTTTGAGGTTTGTTTCTAGTTGAATTTTAGTGTAATGTGCATTATAATTACTATTTGTTCCGCATTTTGGGTTTTATGCATTGTTACAGATTTAATCGTTATATTTTATACTTCACATTATATTATTTGTCAAAATTTCTCAACCCACTATTTGTTCAGGAAATAAAATTCGAGCCGTGTGTCATGTGTGAACACCTTGATAAGAGATCTTCTTTTAGATTTAGCCAGGTATGTGTTGCATCATCAGTGTTGGGTTTGTTATAGGATAGCATTAAATGTGGGAATTAAATTCTCAACTCTTCTGTTTCCAGATTGAAGATGGGGACATTATTTGCTTTCAAAAATCCTCTTTTCGTGAAAGTGAAGAACAATGCAGATATCCTGATGTTCCTTCATTTTTGGAATATGTACATAACCGCCAGGTCCAGTCCACTAAAGCTTTTTCACATATAATATTTCCGGGTGTTAAATTTCTAGTTGTAGCTTCAATCATTAGTTCTTGTATGCTATCTTTGTATTGGTATCAGATTTTGAGCTATGAGCCGAGCCACATGGAGTATTGATTACTTCGTGTTCGAACTTTTATTAAGCCAATCTAGTTTGCTTATTATATATAATCCTTAACAGCCTTCACCAAGCATGCTATTAGATCCCGTGCAAGCTCAAGTAACTTGGTTTGTCTTACAACCCCAGACTTTATGAAAAATTTACATCTGTGGAAATTCTTAATTTTATCCTGAAATTCATGGTGCTAAAACAATAAAACCATAAAGATGCTTTCACTTGATGTGTAGATTTTTCTCATTCTAGAGACTTCATATTGAATAAAGTAACATTTCTTTAGTTGAAAGGGAAATATGTAAAAACCCCTAAAAGATGTCCAGTGGAGTGTTATGTATCTCTGTATCTTAGTGATGATAAAGTTGTCTCACAGTTCAGCATTTACTTCCATATCCTCATAAACAGAACCTCTATTTTCATTCAGAATTTACTAATTATGGGTAAAGTGACTGTCTTTTGGTTTGATCATATTTGTCTTCTTGAATCGAACAAGTTTTGTGACCTACTTTTTGCGCCTTCGCACATAATTTCAGCATTGGATCTTGTTTGAATTTTAACTTCCACAATAACCAGCATTATGTGGTTTGTACTTTGCAGATTGTTCATTTTCGATCTCTGGAGAAACCCAAGGAGGATGATTTTTGTCTGGAGTTGTAAGTATTACCATAAATAGCATTATAGTGGACAGTAGGAGAGAGAGACTGCATTTGCTCTCGCTGCTGTATATATGTATATAACCGTTTCATCTATAAATTTTAAGGTCAAAGCTGCATACTTATGATGATGTTGTGGAAAGAGTAGCCCATCGGCTCGGTTTGGATGATCCGTCAAAAATACGGCTTACTTCTCACAACTGTTATTCTCAGCAACCTAAGCCCCATCCTATTAAATATCGTGGAGTGGAGCATTTGTTAGACATGCTTGTCCACTACAGTCAGGTAGTTTCACATGAACTGAGCTTATATAGAGGCCTGATCTGCCCTTTTACTTTCTATAATAATATTTTACATCAAACAGAAAGGAAAAGTATATGTGCATATACCACACAATTAATGGGGTAAAAGAGTATGTTTTTCTCTTTCCTGCAGACTTCCGATATTTTATATTACGAAGTGTTGGATATCCCGTTGCCAGAATTACAAGGCCTAAAAACTCTGAAAGTTGCTTTTCATCATGCAACAAAGGATGAGGTGTGTCTGAAACTACTGCCATGCCTGCCACCACCAACATGACTACCAGTTTTAAATCATCATATATGTTCTCTTACCTATTCCATTATCTTCTTTAAACTGTTTTCAGGTGGTAATTCACAATATTAGGTTGCCTAGACAGAGTACTGTAGGAGACGTGCTTAATGAACTCAAGACAAAAGTAAGTGTTTCTAATGTTGATACTCAATGCCCTTTCGGTTTTGTTTTATGTGAATTTTTTTTGTTTTCAGGGAAAAGAAAATACAGAAGCAGGTTAAAAATTCACTTGACTTTACTGTTTTCTGAAATCATTTTTTTAAAAACACCTATAAAAGAGGTTTTTTTCTTTTTTCTTTTTCTTCAAATTAGTATTTTTTTAAGAATAACAATAATTTCCCTAAGTAACTAGTTTGATAATCAAAAGGCATGGATCTCGAATTAGTTTTTTTTTTTCCCCCTGTTGTCTTGAATTTGTTTTCTGTATTCGCTGGTCTTGAAAACTTTTTTCTGAGAAGGAAATGAACAGGATATTAATTTTCCTATTATTAATCAGGAGAAATTACCATGAAAAAGTGCCCTTTGCTATTAATCCCTATTATCTTTCTCTTTACAATTTTTGCACCGCGAATAACTTCCTGGCAGAAATTTTGTCGTTCATCTGGTTACCCATCAATATATATCTTCTTCAAGTTATGCATGATGGCAATTGACAACTAGATTTTTTTTGGATCGTTTCCTCCTTTCTCCTCCTTTTTGTCTTGTTCATTTTGATGGAAATCCTTTCAATCCTTTTTGTTCATGCATCAAGAGATTCTAGTCCACATTATTATAGTTGTTAATGGTTGAAGCAGCTTGTCAATTTCTGGTTTTTAAGGAATTGATCTTGTAAGAGGCTGAGCATTAGGGAGATTATAATATAATAAATTTGCTACTAAATTGTACTTCTGCATTGTCCTTCTTACTCGCAATCTTAGCTTAGCTACAGGAGCAAATTTTTGCTGCGTTGAATAATTTTTATTAATGCATTATGCATCCTGAAACAGGTTGAGTTATCTCATCCGAATGCTGAACTTAGGCTGCTTGAAGTTTTCTATCACAAAATCTATAAGGTAATAATCAAATTGTTAAAAGTTTATTACCCCCTCTGAAGTTGATTTCTCTTTGGGGCTCAACTTGATGGGTGCTTATGCAGTGCTTTCTGTATTGGATTATATGTGGCCGGCACCTAAAATTGCTTCCATTTTAGATGATCTGCAATTAGACTGGTTTAAATTTTGTTGCAACCAGTAAGTATGCTGTATCATTCATTATGTAATCCCTAATACTGCTGTTTTGTTGTTTCAGATCTTTCCACTCGTTGAAAAAATTGAGAATATAAATGACCAGTATTGGACATTGCGGGCAGAGGAGGCAAGTTCTTTTTCCTCTTCTTGGTCCTCTTTTTTTTAAAAAAAAAAAAAACATTTATCCCCTTAAATCTGAGAAAGTGACAATTTTTGCAAGTTAAATGGCATGATGCCTATATGGGGCGGTCTGTATTTCTTGTATGGATGTAATCTAGGTAGGACAGTAAGCAAAGTAATGCATGTGAAGGACGTGAGATGCATATCTGCTTCTTTCAAAAATAAATCATTATTTCAAAAAATGGGGTTTAAAAATCTGCAAGACTAGTGCTAGTGTTCTGATGCTATACCTATTGACAGTAAAATATCTCAGTGTGGAGTTTAACTGGCCTTAATTATGTGCAAGTAATTGGAAGCAGGCTTCACAATTGAAATTCCTGCTTGTAGCTTAATTGGTGATGCAAAAATTACTTGTTGAAAATAGGGTTGAAGACTTCAAAATTTACTTGAGAATTGAACTACCGTGAATAATTTGTTGTAGATTTATTTTTGGCATATAGAAATTTTCCAAACCTGTTGGCCTTTATAATTTGATTTTCATAGTGGTTCACCAGCTTTTATTTTATTTTATTTTTATCGACTTATACTCTAGCTTTAGAGAATGGATTTTTGTTATTTTAGCTATATGTCTTTAGTCTATGTTACTGGTTTTTTTTTTTTTTTTTCGTGAAAAGAGCAAATCTTATTTATATATATATATTTTTGGGGATCAACTGGCATTCCAGCTTTAGGGAATGGATTTTTGTTGTTTTAGCTTTACATATTTGTCTTTAGTGTGTGTTACTGGTTTTCTTGAAAAGAGCTAATTTTTCTCCCCCTTATAATTTTTTTATCTCAGATTCCAGAAGAAGAGAAGAACCTTGGTTCCCTTGATCGCTTGATTCATGTTTACCATTTCACAAAAGAGACTTCCCAGAACCAACTGGTATTGAAACACGGGCAGCATGTTTGCTAGGCATTGTAACATTGCTTCAAGCCATGCGTGTGCTATTGCACAAAAATTAACTAGTACCCATTTAATAATGATCTTGAGATATACTTGTATTCTTAACCGTGTTTATTCGGCAGCAAGTCCAAAATTTTGGGGAACCCTTCTTCTTGGTCATCCATGATGGCGAAACTTTAGCTGAAGTTAAAGTCCGCATTCAAAAGAAATTGCAACTTTCAGATGAGGAGTTCTCTAAGGTATATTTTCTTCCCTTTTTGGGCTAATGGATAGTAGTTACATGGTGCTATTTTTGAAATCTTATCAGATGATCACTGCTATTAACTTATTTTAGATCCCAAATGATGATGTTTGACCTTTGTCATTTATATTTATGGATGGTTAGTGGAAGTTTGCATTTTTTTCAATGGGTCGTCCAGAGTATCTGCAAGACTCCGATATAGTGTCCAGCCGTTTTCAGGTGCGCACATCTATGCTTGTGTATTCTCTTCTAATCACCATTTCTTGTCAATTTTGTTGTTCAGTTTGCTGTGATTCCCATTTGAGGTTTTTTTTTTCTGCATTTATGAAATTTACTGTTGCATTTACTTTCTTCCAGAGAAGGGATGTTTATGGTGCTTGGGAGCAGTACCTTGGGTTGGAACATCCTGATACTGCTCCTAAAAGGTCTTATGCAGCAAATCAGGTAAAAGTTTCTTCATATTAGTTTCTTTATGGTTTCAAATTATGGCAAACGACCACCATTATGGATGATAAAACTGAGTATCTGTTCTGCTTGTATGGATTCCTTTCCGAGTTTGTGCAATCACTTAAAATTTTAATCCCTGCCTCTGCCTCTATTGGCCTTATTTGTTTCATTTAACTTGTAACGTCATTTTTCTTTTTGTTGATCTACATAAAAAATTGCAGAACCGTCACACGTATGAGAAGCCAGTGAAAATATACAACTAGAGATGTGAACCTCTGACCGTGCATGAGTTCAACCCAGCATCGTTTGACCACAAAGTGCAATGTTAAAATTGGCAAGGATAAAAAATGACTATAGATTGCGAGGCAGCAGAAGAAATCGACATTGAGGTGGTATTTTTGTGGTTTCATTTGTAGGTTTATAGATTCTGATTCTTTATTTGATGCTGGGGAAGGGTGATTTTATCCTGAATGTCGTGCTTTTGTTGTTGATACCACTTGAGCTTTTGCTGTCCTTTTGCCCTTTCGTATAAAAGCATTTCTTGGCTTGAGAGATTGGTGGCTTTCCATAACTGATCCCTGTGTAATTTATAGCAGTATATAGGGAGGATTTTGGTTAAAGGGGATGTAAACTGGTATAGTGGGTGCCTTTTGACGTTTTATTTTTTACTTTTACTTCTTTTCTCTACTTATCGTACCCTCCTCTTTCGGTTGCATTTGATTTTTGTAGGGGATGGGATGGGATGGGACTGTATAATGGTTGGCTGGCCAAACATACATGTTTTTTTTAGGGATTTGTATAAAAGAAAGAACCATATCTACAGGCATATAGTGTCGACTTTATATAATTTATTTTGTCACTTTTTTTAGTTCTCTTTTATTCCCGGAGGTCTTGTTATTCAGATTTTGTTTCCTAAAAGAAATATTATACAAATAATATCAAGATAAAGCCTATATTCAGTATCTTCCTTCAAATGCTATTGGGTAATAGATATCAACTGTGGGTAATCCGTTTAGTCAGTAACTGACAATGGGAATTGGTGACTAATCCGTTTAAGCATGAATTATTGATTTCACCTTAGGATACTGATTAGTGATATTAACGTATCACTGATTTCTATTTTCGGGAAGGAAAAAAAAATATATCCCCACCTTGGTAGGTAGTATCGAGGAAGTATAGATTTTCCATTGACGGTAGGCAATGGGATTCGAAAAAAATTTACTCCCAAGTATGACCTGATTTTTCTCGATCTCAATGCTACCAAACATAGAGAGTTGATCTATTCTTAAAATGGGTTCATATTAGTAAATACATTATATTTTGGAGTGAAACACTTTTACTTCTGGAGCAAACCTTTGCTGCTAGAATCCACCCGTGCAATGTAACACTTTGATTCATTCTATTATGCATACTTTTTTATTTGGGGTCTCGGTTCAAAAAATAATAATAATAACAATTTTCTGAATTACTTATAATGGTTAAAAAAATGGTTTCAATTTCCACCAAGAGTCCTAAAAGCTAATGTAAAATAACAAAGTGAAAAAGGGATTAAAGGAAATCCCATTTTTCTATATCACTTTTGGTTTGATAAAACATGAGTGCTGTTGTCAATTTTTGTTAGTGGATAAGAGTGAATTTCAAAGTCGTTCCTATTAAAACATAAAATAATACCTGTAATGAGTACACAAGTCGATCTACTCAACAAATAAAAGAAAGCATAATGTTTTGAAATAAAAGAATGGCGAAACTCTTTGTTCATGAATTATTTTTCTCATCTACTATATACGAAATCAACCCAATAATGGTTTCACCAACAATCAAATGCGTACAAGCAGCAACATGTAAGATCTCGCTTTAGGCCCTGCAATAACAGGATAGCACCAAACAACATAAATGTGAGCTACTAGTCCCATCACCTACTCTAAAATGGAGGGAAACTACCATTGTTATTCTTACGGGCAATTTCCTTACAAATTTTCACCTATTTTTTGCTCTTTTTCAAAGTGGACTTCTAACGTTCCTCATACTTGAAGATATGATTACGAGAGCATTCATTTGTTACTTCCACTCAAACCCAAAGTTTAAGCACCGCACCCTCTTACTAATATTTAACATGTCGATCACCATGCATGCTTTTAATATAACCTCCAAATAGTGCTTCCGAGACATTATTATAAAATTAAACCAAACAAATCTTTTGGCTTGTTGAACTGCAATGCCAAACAGTACGCTTCCCGTGAAGGATTTATCAGATCCTAGGATTTGATGAATTTCAGGTGTTCTTTAAGTCATATATTGCAATTGAGAATCCACAAAATGCCTATGGAATTTCAAAATATCTCCCAATTAAATACATGTATTGTTGGTTTGATATAATATGAATGCTTCTTTGCCAATAAATCTTTAAAAAGCAGGCTTCGTAACATAATTGGATCCCTTGGGTTTAGGTTTTTATACGATGAGTTGAGTGATACTAGACTGAACATCAAAATCTTGCACAATACTGTGACTGACCCAAATTTTCAAAAGTGAATGACAGGTCTTTTAATATAAACAAATTTGAAGACCTGTCAGAAAATTTTGGGTCAATCACATTAATTAGAAGTGGGCAGTGGGGGCCATAAAGATTTGATAAAAAATTCAGAGAAACTAGGCTGGGTTTGTACTATAAAAATAATTTTCTTTTCCCGAAAAATTAAAAATTAAAAACGGTATAAAAAATTCTGCTTGATTCAGTTTTTTTTAAATTCAGTTATAAAAATGTCTGTTTTCAGAAAACAATCTTTTATAATTCTCTTAAAATTATTCTCTATTTTATGAATTTTTGAAAATTATTTTTATGGTTATAAATCAAGCATGCTCTAAATATCCTATATTGAGTTTTTGAAAATGTTATCGACTTCATTATCTACATAAACATAAACACAAACACGTAAAAAAACATTTTACCATCCTATGTAACATAACTCTTTAAAAGTAAGTTAAGTGCACGCGTTAGAGACAGTACTCTGACGATGATAGCGAATATGTTTTACCATTCTAGCGGCTTTGCTGATCAATTATCAATTTTATGCCAAGAAAGAAAACTAATTAAGTATGCAAATATCCGTTCATCAGAAGTAAATACTAATGCACTAATATGCCAGTAAAATTATTCAATTTATGCACATCAAGTAAACACAAAGCAAGATATTTAGTAATCAACCACAAAACCATCAGTAAGCAAAATATTCATAAAAATATAAATTTTCCATGTTATTTTAGATGCAAGAACCACATTGCCTATACAATAAGGGGGACAAATGATTAATATAAAATATTGTACCAAATCAATGCAATACCATATTTACTAAAAAAGTACAAGGAGGAAAATCTTTTAATGTTTTCAAGTAGAAGATTACAACTTACTTTGTTGATTGTTAGAGGGTGGTACATCTACCCTTCGCCCTCTGACTCGTCTACAATACTCTATAGGAAATCGAACCATCAATGGTTTCAACCACCAACCGATTCAAGCGTACGAGCAGCAACAGATAAGACCTTGCTTTAGGCCCTGCAATGACAAAATAGCACCAAACAAGAGAAATTTGAGCCACAAAACCTTGCCTATTTCCCAAAGGAATGGGATCGGCCACATAAATTCTATTTCTCCATTCTATTCTATTATTTGCCATTTCTCCTTTAATATTTTGTTTTTTTGAAGTCATTTCATGTAAGTTTTGGTTGGTGTCACTGTCTCTTACCTTCTATACAAACTACTCTTCCCTTTTCTAATATTTATTTTGAGCCACTGCCCACTAGTCTATCACCTTCTACCTTTGTTATTTTACTGGGCAATTTCCGTACAAATTTTCATCAACCATTTTCTCTTTTCCTAAAAGGACTCCTAATTATCCTCATTCTTGAAGATAAATATACAAGTGTATTTCCATTGGTTACTTCTACTCAAACCCGAGTTTTAGCTTACACTGTTACCAACCTCCTACTAGTGTATTCCACCTATCTTTTCCAAGTATTTAAGTAATTCAATTGAGACAATGATATTTTACTTGCAGATCACCATGCATGCTGTTAGTAGAACTCTGAATAAACTTCTATTATAATTAATCAACAGATCAATATCACACCACCCGAGTGGACATGGCTTGGAGATCTAATTACTGATTGAGTGATTCTTGGCTAAAGCTCAAGTTCACAAACACTACGTATGCGTGACAGGTCAAGCTCGTACATGAAGGCTTTCGCAAATGTGCAGACCATTGACAAGGAAGGCATTTATCATCCAGCAAATTCATTATTTTATCGAAAACCAGCATTGTGCTGATCATGCACAATGAATGTTATAAAAACAAGCTACAAGAATACCTTCAAGATACATACCTAACCCCAGCAAAGCAAGTTCACTTTGGAGGAAGAAGTTTCCTCCCTCTGTTTTTACCTGTTCCCTCAGGCTTGAATTCATCTTCTCAACAGCAGCCAGCAGATCCTGCAAAAGTTACGATTTGGAAATTTGTTCAAGAAAACACCGCAATAAAGAAAGAAATTTAAGCGCTCCATATGATGCTCGCAGGAGGGGTAAAAAGAATGAATGTGAGGAAACTAAAATGCTCAAATATAACTCTCTTTCTCTAGCATTTTCCTTTAATTCAATTCTTCAGACAACCAGACAGAGAGTAACCAATTGACTACAAAATCATTTTTCATAAGGATCGTTAAAAGAAAGAAAATATATATTTTTTGGGCTTAAAAACTAAATGCCAAATCAGACATTTTAATGACAAGGAATTACCTGAACAGATGTAATCATTTATAGTTGTGCTACAAAAAATGTGTACAAATTCTAATATTACAAGCATTATAATATATGAGGCTTTCATGTCTAGAAACATAAGTAATGAATGTCAAGTTGTAAGAGTATTGAGTTTATCGGTCAATTGTAATGGGAGATAACTATTGAGGTAGTAAATTTTTACCCAACAATTATAACCTTCTAAAAACTAGCTAATACATATGTTTACATTTAATTATATTTAGAATTACTAGAATTGTGTTGCTTGAGGCACCAGAACTCTTATTGCCAAGGAGAATAAAATTATTGTTACGTAAAAACATTTGGCAGTTTCAAAATCAGATTTAGCAAACACAAGTCCACTTTTTAACACAGGTTTAAACATCAACATTAGCTGGATGCCAACTTTAATATTAATAGACAAGATAGTCGTGTCCAATAACTTATCAAAACAAACTACCATTCCCACTTTATTGTACGTATGGTAACAGTTCCCTATAAAATGAAATAGTGCCTTTAAAGCTCTTGTAAGGACAGCAACTCTTCTAATAACATGAAGTAATCACACATTATGATCTCAAAATGTTAAAATAATTAGTTTTCAATACTCAGTAAATTGCCTAAGGTAATCTAACACTTTCAAAGAGCTTCCAAAATTATATCAAAACCATTACCTTAGTTGAAACTGCCAGAAAAGAAATATGCAAAATTAACCTTCTATACGCAGAGTCATATTATTGGACATTAATTGTTAAAGAAGTCATTTGCATCATTAAGGTTCACTGTGTTTTGCTGATTAAAATTTAGGGTACATTCTTGGTGGATCACATTGAAAATCTAAACCATCCTTTCTATGAAAATATGAATCAACTTTAAACAACAGTTGCATCAAAAGGAACAAAAATAACTTTTACCTCCCATGAGGCAAGACTTTTCATATATGAAGGAAGATCTTCATAATCATTTTCAGAAATACTTATCGTGGGCTTTAGAGCACCAGACTTTGTTGGTTCTCTCAAACACATATCTGGGCTATCAATCATCTTTTTAGCTGCATAGAGAAAGTGAGGGCATTAGTATAGAGAACAAAAGGCAATTTTCATTATATGTATGAAATAAATTTGATCTGTTCTTTAGTGAATGTTCAATCTTTCATTGTCATTTGTGAAATGGCGTGTTCTTTTTTCCCCTACAATGGCTCCCTTCATGACAAGGCATTCTATGATCACTTGTGCAAGCCACCGTTAAGCCATTTAAAGTAACGACCCACTCCACCACATGGTATGATATTGTCTGCTTTGGGCCTGAGCCCGCATGGTTTTACTCTTGGGCTTCACCCCAAAAGGCCTAATACTAATTGGAGATGATGCACTTACATATAAGTACTTCACCTTTCCTCTACCCAGGCGATGTGGGACTTGTGCACCCGTAGCTCGCGAGTGTGGTAGCCTGACAGTCTCTTGCACCCGCCCACGGCACACCCGCCCACAAGGTCATCACAATCCACCCCCCTTGGAGGCCCGACGTCCCCGTCGGCACACTTTCGGCTGGGTCAGGCTCTGATACCATTTGTAACTACCCACTCATCCATATGATATTCGAACAAACTCTGATAGCATGATAGTCATGGAGTTCTGAAGCAAAATTTGTGGTCATAAAAAATGGAATCAACTAACCTTCCGATGCTATAGTGGCAAGACAAACATCCGAAAGTCCAAGATCCTGTAAACTCAATGAATCCTCAAATCTAACAAATGTTAAGAAATACAAATGATCAGCACATCCAAAACATACATCAGTACAATGAACTAATAGCTAAAAATCATAACCTTTCAAGAAATCTCTTGTTAATTGAGTTCACTATATCCATGACAATGTGAGACAAACCCCTAAAACAAGCACGAGTAAAAAATGTGCCAAACAAATACACAAATATCATCATCAGCCCTCTTAATCAAATATATTTTACTTTAAAACTCAATTCGTGTACAATACCACGATAAACATTTTTAAATATGAGTTCTTACAATTTTCACATTAAAGTAGCATTTCTGAAAAGTGAGAATTCCAACACCAACTAGGCCAAGTAGTTGCACATCTGAGAGTAGAGGTAAACTATACTCGGGTCTCAAACAATGAAAAAAATAAGAGTCAAACAATTTCAGTACCGGGTTCGCTGCGGTTTTCAGAAACAAGTTCTCTGAGACATGTATTTTGAAAACATTGAACATCCTGAGAACAAAGCACTCAATTATTTTAGTAATTCTGCCTAGAAAACAGAAAACATGAATAGAAGAAACATCATGCTGAATTTCTGATAATTCTGAAAAATAGACCCATTTAACTCTACTCCAAAATAACAAAAACTATCTATTAGGGGGGCGAATTTGTTTGAACCTATTTTTTTGTTTTTTATAACTCCACTAACAGAAAACTGTTTCTAAGAAATTTCCCTAACATAGAAGGATACAACGGGTCCTCGTGGACAGTCTTCAAGTCTAATTCGAGTGGAATCGATGAATCATCACAGACCTCATCGTTTTCAACTTTGTCAATTTCTAGGGCAAAGAAAAATAAAAGTAATTGCATGAATAAATATGAACAAAATTTCCAGAAAACCGAAGAAATTTTGGGGCTATGTAGAGAAATTACCAGGGACGTAACCGAAACTCCTGAGTCGATCTTCAAGCTCGACAAGATCACTCTCAGTCTTCTTGTACACTTCATTGCAGTGACCCAAAAGCTCCTCGAATGAGACGGTCCCAAACGACATCGACTCCAGCAGGTTGAGATCGCCGCTGGTGGAAGACACTCGATTGTTTAGACGCTGTACGTAGGTCGACGAAGCAGAATCTGAAAAAAGATTCGACAAAAATATTCAAAGACGATAAATGTAAATGTAACTTCGAAAGAGTTAACGAACCTGTTTGGTCGCAGAGAAATTGAAGGAAAATAGGGGAAAAAACAAGGTCGTAAAAGAGTATAAGACACAGACAGATTTGATTGATGGTTACCGAGAGGGATTGGGCGGCGTTCAATGGATTGCTTGAGAGCATCGCAACTGCTCTGAAGGTGGTTACAGAAACCAGCTAGGGTTTTGCAGAACATCGCTATTGAAGCGTCCATTTCTCTCTCTCTCTCTCTCAAAATTTTCTGAACAAAAGCTTCCAAGTCTTGCCGCCTTCCGAAATTTGAAAACCTGAAAACTGACTTTGTATATTTATAAACGTGTTTTCTAACGCACTGCATTCTTATATTACTCTGCGTCATTTCTACGCAATTTAGTACGTCATTTCTACGCATAATAAATATTTAAACCACTTTTTCTTTCTTTATAAAGTCTCAGTCCGGTCCAACTTAAATAATCCACTCATTGATTTTTCTGGGTTGCAAATTTTTACAATTACATAAAACAACGACTCAATCATAAAACATATAGATTGGATGTGTATTAATAGTATATATAATCCAAAATTCATTACCCGTTTTTTTTTTTTGTGAGTCCCACCTTATTGAATCAAATTAGTGGTGGGTTGAAGAAGAAATCAATAAAAAGTTATTTTCTAGCCGCATATTATTGGTTAAAAAAATACTTTAGGTAATGAAAGACAAAGTTTGGAGTATTAGAAATCCCTACATCATGTGTGCTAACTAAACATGCCTTCAGCTAAGCTAAACAAGCCCTAAGGCCTCCCAAATTTCGAAACCCCTCCAAACCCATGCATGAATGATGTCAAATGGAAGCTCTCTTCAAGCTCATCATATTTTCCTTCTTGGCCTTATCTAAAATCTCACTTTAAACCTCTCAATTTCTAGCTTGTATATGTGTATAAGTGTAGATATAGAGAGAGAATGGGAAGAGTTTAGTGAGAGGAGGAAATGCCGAAAATGAGGAGGAAGAAAGAGACTGGTCAAGTCTTCCTAACCCAAATGTGGTATTCCTTATGCCAAGTATCATCCTATCGTGGTTAGTAGCTTTTTGGTAAGTGTCACACCCCCACATTTTTCACGCATAAATTGATCAGGCTTATACACGAAAAACGAGGGATATCAAAAACAATTGGCAATATACAAGCATGGAATGCAAAATGATAATAATAAAAGAATTTAGACAGGAAAGGAACACTAAATAATAAAACATCCATCCATCCTTTATTTAATACAGTACTCCATTACAACTTGGAAATCCTAAGTCAAGGATCCCTAAATATAAACCTGAGAGTTCAACGTCAAAAGTAAATAAAAACTGAAACTGAAGTAATACATAAAACTTCTACCCTGAACTGGATCGTAAGAGTAGATGAGTTCGGATGGTGGTTCCACACTGCTAACCTCAACCTTGGAACGGGTACTGACCGTATCCTGAAATAACAACAATGGTGGGTCAACCCCACGAGCAAGTCCTCTCTACTGTAACCCAAATCAAAGAATCAAATAAATTAATCATTATGAATTGGAGGAGTACTATATCTGTATACATCCTAAGGGAACTACCCAATGTATAATATGACCTCAACCAGAATAGACGGTGATCACTTAGACTCACACTAGGTGGTTAAGTGTCTCCTTTCCCTACCCAGGAAATCAGCTATTATACATGGTACACGGTACTGACAACACAGACTGTAAAGACTACACAGTAGTAACGCATCTCCATGTACAAATGAATATACTGAGCATATCAATTAGGCAACACATGCCAATAATAATAAACCACATATCCCGACAGCCACACATCTGTCTATCGCAACGAATGCATAAAGTATAAATGAGTCTCAACTTATTAGCCAGCTCACATGGTTCTATAGGGCAACATATCCATATAATATAAATGTGACATAATTTAAACAGTCCATTTATTCTCTGAAATGCACACAGCATAATAATCATGGTTTATATATGATTAACAGTATAAACATCCCATAATATAAAATGGATAATTTATATGACTAAAACCATGACATTATTTAATTTAAAAGCAATGATTAATACCATTTAATAAAATAATAACACCATCTATATTTAACAATGTCGTTAAATGAATCACAGTCATATCCGTACTGAAACGCGCCAATAAATGTTTAGAACAGATTAATCAGCCATAATAATACTTAACGGGTAATAAAATAATAATTTCGTGACCCGTTAAACCCGTAACTACCAACACAGGCCTTAAAACTCCAAGTTTAAGGTTCTTGAATTGACAAAACAGACCTTAGGGGTATTCTGGTAATTTCTAGCAGCTGACAGGGCCCCTCACGCGCCCCCACGCGTCGCCCTAAGATCCCCCACGCGCAGCCCAACCTTTCCCACTCTCCCACGCGCCTCCACGCGCGTCTGGCATCAGCCACGCGCGCGCACGCTCTCCCACGCGCGCGTTTAAATCTCCTACAGATGTGGCACCTCCTGGTTGGTTGGCTGTATTGACTTGCTGTGGGTGCGCTACACAAGATCACTTCATCTCATCTCACCTAATCCAAGGGTCAATGATCCGGGTGTACCGCGGTAACATGGACCGCGATGCACTGGATCAATCAGATTCATCTAAGGCCCAGGATGCGCGCGAACGCTACCCTAAAGTACGCCGCATCACACCGGATCACTCCAGTCATCTCCCCCACATCCGGTGGCCGGAAACCTCGCCGGAGTCTCGCCGGAAATTGCAGAAAAGCCCCGGAAAAATCTAGAAAATTTTTAAAAAAATCCCTAAAGACTTATTTAATTATTTTCAGCCTTTAATAATTTCATAGGATAATAAATAAATATATACCATCCCATAAAATTAAATTTTCATTAATTTAATAAACTAAAATTAATAATTTATTAACCTCATAACCTGGTCTCTATGCATATAAATAAACTAAACAATTAATTTATTAATTCAAAGGGGAAAAATAGATAATAACTTGCCTTTAGGATTTAAAATAAATCCGCCGGTTGCGCGTAATCGGGTAAAATCGCCTACACCGGTACAGACTCCCTTCTTTCTCTCTCTTCCTTTCACTCTTATCAAGTAACTCACAATTACTTATTTCTCTTCTTCCTCCGTGAATCCTCAACCCAAAAATAGCTAACTTCTATATATAACTAATTTATATAATTTAAATATTACAAATATCTACTTATCATTACTTCCTTAACTTCCCCATCCTCTCACCTATAATCCATTAAGCCTAATGCCCCAAAGTCCTCTATTTCACATAAATGAAAGTTTCATTTCAAACATACATCATGACTTTGGCTTAATAATATTATTATTATTATTTCCACAATATTATTATATTCTTATTATATTCTAATTATTATTATATTATTATTATTCTTATATTCTAATTTTTTTATAAAACATAATCCATAAAATATAAATACTAACCTTAGGATAGGTAGAGCACATAAAAACGTAATATACAGAGCACGATAAAATATTATTTTATTATTTATTATTCTTACTTTATATTATTATAAAACACAAATAAATAAAATATAAAAATTAGCATTATAATACGTAGTGCACATAATCAACATTTCACGCACAAATAATTAATTTAATAATCTAACATTAAAAGATGAATAAACCTACACATTATAATATTAATTTAAATAATCACTTCCAAAATTACGGGGTATTACAGTAAGTTACTCCTTTGCCCTTTCCCTTCACAAGCAATGCCATCCAAGTCCCTAAATATCTCCTCTAATATGTAGATAAATGTATATGTATATGTAGGTGAAATGCCAATAACACCCCTCAATAAAAATGGCAAAACCGAGAGAAGTTCTCGAGCCCGGAAATCATCCCGACTTTTAAAAAATTCTAAAAATAATCTCGTCACCTCTAAATGATTTAAAATAATTAAAATACACTTCTAAAACTCTCGGCTCAAGCAAATTACCAAAGCAAACCTTAGGGCCTGCATGGCACACAAAACGAGGCATAAAAAATAATTCAAAAAATTCAAAAAAATCCAGAAAAATCCGGGACATTACAGACCCATACCAAGTCGTTGGCGTCCAATGCTGTGAATGCTCTCGCCAAATCCTTCATGAGCGAGTTCAGCGACTTGGGTCGGTTGATCGCCACGTAGGTGATCCCGTTCGTTTGCGGGTCACGAGTATCAAATTCTCGGGTGACGAATTGTCCATTTGTTGTTTACAATATCGTTGTAACACCCCCAACATTTTCCACGCATAAGTTGATCAGGCTTATACACGAAAAACGAGGGATATCAAAAACAATTGGCAATATACAAGCATAGAATACAAAATGATGATAAATAAAGAATTTAGAGAGGAAAGGAACACTAAACAATACAACATCCATCCATCCTTTATTTAATACAGTACTCCATTACAACTTGGAAATCCTATGTCAAGGATCCCTAAATATAAACCTGAGAGTTCAACGTCAAAAGTAAATAAAAACTGAAACTGAAGTAATACATAAAACTTCTACCCTGAACTGGATCGTAAGAGTAGATGAGTTCGGATGGTGGTCCCTCACTGCTAACCTCAACCTTGGAACGGGTACTGACCGTATCCTGAAATAACAACAATGGTGGGTCAACCCCACGAGCAAGTCCTCTCTACTATGACCCAAATCAGATAATCAAATAAATTAATCATTATGAATCGGACGAGTACTGTATTTGCATACATCCTAAGGGAACTATCCAATGTATAACATGACCTCAACCAGAATAGACGGTGATCACTTAGACTTCACTAGGTGGTTAAGTGTCGCCTTTCCCTACCCGAGAAATCAGCTATTATACATGGTGCACGATACTGACAACACAGACTATAACGAACTACACAGTGATGACACCTCTCAATGTACTGATGAATATACTGAGTATATCAATTAGGCAACACATGCCAACAATATTAATAAATATACCGAGTATGTCAATTAGGCAACACATGCCAATAATATTAAACCACATACCCTGACAGCCACACATCTGTCTATCGCAACGAATGCATAAGGTATAAATGAGTCTAAACTTATTAACCAGCTCACATGGTTCTATATGGCAACACATCCATATAATATAAATGCGACATAATTAAACAGTCCATTTATTTCCTAAAATGCACACAGCATAATAATCATGGTTTATATATCATTTAACCGTATAAACATCCCACAAGATATCATGGATAATTTATATGACTAAAACCATGACATTATTTAATTTAACAGTAATGTTTGATACCATTTAATAAGATAATAACACTATTTATATTTAACAATGTCGTTAAATAAATCACATTAATATCCGTACTGTAAACGAGCCAATACATGCTTAGAAAAGATTAATCGGCCATAAGAATAAGTAACGGGTATTAAAATAATAATTTCGTGGCCCGTTAAACCCGTAAATACCAACACAGTACCTAAAAATCCAAGTTTAAGGTTCTGGAATTTACAAAACAGGCCCTAGGGGTATTCTGGTAATTTCCAGCAGCTGACATGGCCCCTCACGCGCCCCCACGCGCCGCCCTAAACTCCCCCACGCGCAGCCCTATGTTTTCCACTCTCTCACGCGCGCACACGCGCCTCCACGCGCGTCTGGCATCAGCCACGCGCGCGCACGCGCTCCCATGCGCGCGTTGATGGCTTCTTGCTGACGCGGCGTCCTCCGGTTGGTTGGCTGCATCATCTTTCCTATATGCGCGCCACACCGGATCAATCCACCTATGCTCTTTTCATCATGTGGCTGATGATTAGCGTGCACCATCATATGGTGTCCCGCGCTACACCGAATCAATCTAAGGATTCACAGCCTATCTAACGGCTGCTGATCCATGCGCATGCTTGTTACAATACACCGCAACACACCAGATAACTCCGGTCACCTTCCTCACTGCCGGTGGCCGGAAAACTCGCCGGAGTCTCGCCGAAAATTGCAGAAAAGCCCCGGAAAAATCTAGAAAATTCTAGAAAAATCCCTAAAACCTTATTTAATTATTTTCAGCCATTATTAATTTCATAGGATATTAAATGAATATATACCATCCTATATAATTAAAATTTCATTAATTTAATAAACTAAAATTAATAATTTATTAACCTCCTAACCTGGTCTCTATGCATGAAAATAAACTAAACAATTAATTTATTAATTCAAAGGGGAAAAGTAGATAATAACTTGCCTTTTTGGATTTAAAATAAATCTGCCGGTTACGCGTAGTCGGGTAAATTTCTCCTACACTGGTCCAAGCTCCTTTCTTTCTCTCTCTTCCTTTCCACACTTTTACAATAGCTCATTAAAAGTTATAACTTTTTCTAACTCCCTTCCATTCCTTCTAAGGTAGGCTAGTTAATTTATATACAATTTATATAATATAAATATTACAAATATCTAATTTTGCATTTAACTAACCACATTCCCAACCATATGGCTTCAAGTCTTACCCATAAACATTAATGAAATCCTATCCTAACCTCTAATTTCATCATGACTTATGATTTAATACTATTATGATTATTATAAATATTATTATTATTATTATTATTATTATTATATTATTATTATTATTATTAATAAACTATTATAATAATAATAATAACTATTATTATTAAACTATTATTATTATTATTATTACATAAGAATACATTATATCATCATAATACTTTATAACACAAATATAATACTTTAATTAACTAATAATGCTTAATTAAACATAATCAACAAATAAAATTATTAATAATAATATATGCACCATTAAATGAACTCATTATAAGAATGGTAAAGAAATCTACACATTAATTAATTCAAATAAACTAAACTCTTTAATAAAATACGGGGTATTACAATCGTGTATGTTATGTCTGTATATATCTACTCGAATTCACCTTCTACTATTTGTCTTTGCCTATTCATAAAAGAATTGTGCTTGCTTTACCTTTTGGGTCTGACTGAAACTTTTTTGCCCTCTTCTCATTGATGCCAGAGCTTCTTGTCGGTGTTTATGGAGTCTTGTGGCATTGGTGGTGGGAGGAAGGAAAAGACGCTATATATATATATAAGAAACAATAAAGATATACAGTGTAATTTGTAAATTTATAAAATATTTAGGGATATTTTATTTTATTTTATTTTATTTCTAATTTTATAGGTTAAAAAGTTCTTTCAGCAAAGTATAAGGGCATTTAAGTCATTTTACCTATCTGACACTATGTCAAGGTAACTTGAGTGTGGGTTGCAGTTGCGGTGATAGTAATTTTCAAAATGTGTTTTAAGGTGGTATTTGACTAAAAGTGTTAATCTAATTAACTCAAGATAAAATAAAAAACAAAATTTAATAGTCAAGTCAGCCACGTTCCCAACACGTGTTTGAAACGGCACGTGTCACCTCTTTCCGTTCTAAGCCTCTACAAAACCTAATCATTCTCTCTTTCGATTCTTCAGAAACCTTAAACAACGAGCTATACAATATCAATGGCGATCTTCAGATCACTGAAAGCCCTAATCACTCGAAACGCGAGTACTTCTTCCAGATTCTTCCCTCCTCTCCCTCTCTCTTCTTCTTCAACTCTATTCCCATTCCCATCCCCTCCTCTCTCCTCCCTTCTCTCACATCCATCTATCTTTTCTTCTCGCTCAACATTGCTCTCTCCACTGTCCAAATGGATTCCATTCCACGGCCCTCTCTTCCTCTCTTCTCCTCCATGGATGCTCTCTCAGTCCGCCACGCCGCTCTACGCCCAATCCGACGCCGTTCTTCTCCAAAAGGTCGAAGCATTGAATTTGCTTCACAGGCGAAGCTTTCCGAGTGCTCTAGGGTTTGGATCAGTTTCGAATAGGACTGATACGGAGGAATCGATCCAGGGCGAGATCAGCGTCTGTCGTGGCGGCTTTGTGGAGAGTTTCGTGAATTTGCCGAATTCGATTTCAATGATTCGATTGCTGTCTGGTCCATTGCTTGGATGGTACTTTTACTTTTACTTTTTTATTTTCTTCTCTATTCTAATTTTTGAGAAAATGGTTATATTTGTATATTTATTTATTCATATATGAGCGCTCAAATCTGCAATTGTATTTGCTGATATGGGTGCAGTATAATTCTAACATGGGTGTGGGAATTTGTTGTTATTAGCATTCATATATGAGCGCTCATAGGTTTTATTTTTGTATGTCCTAAGGTGTAAACTGATATAAATGAAAATTTACTAACATTATAAAATTAGTAGGAGTGATAGATTTTGCAGTTAAATTCACTTCAATAGTCGCATGGGACAAAATAAACACAATGATGATGATGATGATTCAGTTCAAAAGTGTGTATGATGTATTTAAAAGTAAAGAGGCAACTAGTTAGTTGAAAACTTGTAAAAACTAAAAATTAACAAGATTTGTTGAATTATCTTGCACATCCTGTATTTGCTCAAGTTTAGGCTTAAAATGCGGAAGCATATGGTGAACGTGCAAGTTTTAGTTGGTATATTATATATATATGGTGAAAACTTTGAGTGGATTTAGTAGTACAGTTAATTACACTTTGAATTATAAACTTACCCTCGTTAATGACAGTGTACTAGTTAATACTGTATACTTCTTCAGAATTTGGATTCAGATGACCGCGACAATTTTTGGTAGTCCCTCTGGAAAATTGATTTTGTCTAACAAATTAAACTGGTTTTTGAATGATGTATGGCTTTGTTATTGTAGTCCTTGGTTTCGATAGTCATTTTAGAATCTAAGGACTTGCTTGGTTCAATTTTCAGAGAATAGTTTTCTGTTTTGTGAGAAATGTAATTAAAAAACAGTTCAAAATTCTGTTTGATTAACTATTTTCTGAAAACTCTGTTAAAAAATAATTGTTATCAGAATTAGAAAACTGTCTTTTATAATTCATCGAAAAAAGTTCTTGAGGACACCTATTCTCTTGTGTGACCAATAAGCATTGATTATATTAAATCATCATCATACGTGCCTTAATCACATACGAAATGGCTTGGACCATTCATATCAAATGAATATTGAATCATTTTGTGCTTTCATCTGTCTTGCCAAGGTCTCACTGACTATTGAATTTTTTTTTTTTTTTTTTTTTTTTTTTTTTTTTTTTTTTCTCCTGGTTTTTTGGAAGTATTTTTAACAACTTTTATGCAGGATGATTGTGCAGGATATGTACCTTTCTGGATTTGTTGGTTTGGCTATAGCTGGTGCAACTGACTGGGTATGAATTCTGATAAATTATTCATATTATGGAAACAAATCCTGAATGATATGTAAGAGTAAAATTAAATTTTTTTTTTTTCTCTCTTTCTTTCTTCATTCTCTTTTTCTATCTTTTAGCTAGATGGATACATGGCTAGGAAGATGAGAATCAATTCTGTGGTTGGTTCCTACCTCGATCCTCTTGCTGATAAGGTTAGTGACACGTCCCGTTGTCCCTGACTGAGTTTTGTTGTTGCAGGTTCTTTGTGGCTCATTTGAACCTCTTTGGTGGCTGAAATTGTTGCGTGTCTTATTATCTCTTGTTTAAACAGGTTTTGATAGGATGTGTTGCATTGGCAATGGTAGATAAGGGTCTTCTGCACCGTAAGTAGAGTTCTCTGTTTTTTCTTTTAGTTGGTACCTCGCATGTTAGGTAACATTACTGATGCATAGAATGAAAAAGCTTGTACTAATCGTATAAATGCATGCGCTCTCTCTCTCTCTCTCACACACATGCACATGGAAAATATAAAAGAAGCAACTTCTGAATAAGTTTTATATTGGTGATTTGATGCAGTGAGATTGGGTTACTTCAATTGTTACAATCTTTCAATTTTGTCATTTTGACTCCACGGCTAAACGTGGTAAGTTCAGCTACAGATTCTAGGTTGTGATTCTATGATGTTCAAATTGTCCACCTCATCTGAGGTCTCTTCAGACTGGCCGAGCCATGATATATATAGTAGGGTAAATAATAGGTCATGCTTATTTTTAAAAAATGGCACATAAATCCGCCTCATTTTTGGTCGTTACTTGAAATGGATAATGGGATTTTGGTGGATGGCCGCATAAGTTGGATTCTTGAATACTAAAGTTCATTTATGTGTATGTCCAATGTAATATCCATTGTGCTCATTGTGTGAAGCTACTCTTATTTGGTTTTTTGTTTGTGAAGCTGGGTTTGTTGGACTCGTCGTGTTGCGAGATGTTGCCCTCGTTGGTGCTGCAGTTTATCAACGAGCTAGCAGCTTGGATTGGAAGGTGAGGATGCCTAACTTTGAACTTCAGTAGTTAGTTACCTAGATTACTGATTTGGATCCCAGTTCTCAATTGAAATTCTTTTGTCAGTGGAAAAGCTGGTTAGACTTCTTCAACCTTGATGGCACCCATCCCCAGAAAGTTGAGCCTCTCTTAATTAGCAAAGTAAGTTTGATGTACTTTCCCTGATTATCTGATGAACAATTTGGTGATAGAGCACTTTTTGAATAGAGCGATACAGTTTATTTAGCCTGCAACATGGTCCGAGTCATATCCAAAGTATCTAGGGTCCTACCATGTCTCAATAGAATTGCAAATTTAGTTGACACACGCTGAGAAATTATTGGCTTTGTACGCAGCACATTTTTTCAACTTGACATACTTGGAACTTGAGTTGTTATGAGGAACTGCCTTAAATGTGCAAGATCAATACAATCAACCACCACTTGGTGGATATTACTGTCATCGTCGTTGCAGCTGTTGTTAATGCTTCTGCGCATTGTGTTGTCGAACTCCATGATCTAAAACATGTTTTAGCCCACCGCTCGAGGCTCCCGCTGATGCACTGCAATTGTTGACAGGTTAATACAGTTTTCCAATTGGTCTTAGTTGCTGCAGCTCTTCTTCAGCCGGAGTTTGGTAACCCTGAAACTCAGGCATACATCACATATTTGAGGTTATTCATTTCACATTTCAGGTTTCTCAACTTCCTATTGATAAATTCAACGAATTAAGGCTAACCACACATTCCATTCTGATGCAGTTGGTTAGTGGCTACAACAACAGTGGCTTCCACTGCAGCATATGGAGTGCAACACCTGAGAAGCAGATCTTTATTGATCAGAAAGAATATCTAGTCTGAAATGTGGAGCACAGGCCTTTACTGAGAATAACCTTGAATTTACTGTAATAACCAAGTGGGTTGTCAATTTCACGTTCCATTGAAGAAGGGAGAATTTTCATAAGCTTTGTATATATACCTACCCGGGTGCAGGAAAAGGAAAATACCGTCATTGAGATACTGGCCGCTCCACAATTCTGAGGCATGCAAACTTTGAAGATATCTACTCCTTGCTCAGATGATTTGATCCTGGTGAAGACATGAGCAGAAGTAACAAGCTGATGTAACATTATCCTTAGAAAATAACTCCAAATTTTATAGCGAAATTCTAGATATTTTCATAAGAGAGACTTGGGGGTTTAAAACCTGACTTTCAAGTTTTGGTGTCCTTTTGGATGCTGTTATACAAAATTGTAGTCTTACTAGAAATTTATGGTCCCTGATTCAATAAAAATCTTTGTTGTCTCGGCATCTGTTACTATTTTTACAGATATGTTAATGAAGCCTGGTTTGAACTTTGAACATGGCATTCTTGATAATCTATATGTTCAGGCTGTAGAGAAACCAAATAAACTAGCAGTGTTGAATTGACAGCATAAGATGGAATAATTGCTACATGTTTTTCTGGAGTTAATTGCAATTGTTGCATGTTGCAATGATGTTACCCTTGAACCTGGAAAAATATGAAGGCTCAAAATGCTACTCCATCGGCTGATATTGTTGCAACTTAAGGTGTGAATCCCGTGATGGCCTATTTGTGAATGTTTGTTTGGGTGCTTACCTAAAAACTTGGTGTTGTTAGTAGAAACCAAAGAGTGTATTTTAGGGTTGCAATATTTCTAAAATACTTTAAAAATATTCTCCTTTTATAGACTTTTCATTTATTTTATATCGTGCACGAATGAAATTCAATTTTGGTTTTTTTTTTTTTTTGGGTCAACCTCCAGAAAACAGTGCGCTTTAGTAAACGGTCCTAAGCTTATTTACTGGGGCAGAAAATGGAGTAAAAGGGGAAGAAAGGAACACATTTCCCTTGTTTTATGAAACAAAAATCCAATCCAAAACCCGAAAAGGGCTTTACGGACTCCCTCTGTCCCATAAAACTTGTTCCTGGTTTGTTTAGGTTTACTTGATTTTTAGTTTGATAGCATTTTATATGTAAATTTCTTAATTTTTCTCAATTTTGTAATCATTCATTATTAAGCGGTATAGAACCAAAATCATACCAAATCTCATCATTGCAGAGTGAAAGGGATGAAAATCCAAATTCCATCATTCCAAAGTGAAAGCAATGATGAAAATCCATCTTCAAACAGGTAATTACTAATTAGGATTATTTATTTATTTTTGTTTTCTGTTTTTGTTTTTGTTTTTTGTTTTTAGTTTTTAATTTTTTGTAGTCTGATTATCTGACTTGGTTCCTTTTCTGTACTGAATTTTTATGAGTCTGCATTGTCTATTTTGGTAGTTATATATATATATATATATATATATATATATATATATATATATATATATAAATACGCACGCGTATCACGGAATACACATATTACTAAACTGATTGACGCTCTCTGTGAAACCTCATCATAATTGATTGTTTTATGTGTAAATATTTGGTCAGAAAATCTGTAACTATGGATATGGAACCATTGATGAGTAAAATTCTGAGGAAGCTTGAGGTGAAATATAAGGATAAATTCGAGACGGCATATGGCGTTGAAATTCACATTGATGCTCTGTTCCTTGCTTGTTACATAAGCTTCAAGTACTCACTCTGATGGTTGGTTGGTTGGCTGGCTGGCCTCTCTTCATTGATTTCTTATACTTTGAAAACTAAATTACTACTTTTGTCATGTTTGGGAGTACCTAATCTACTTTTTGGAATCGGAGGAAATTAAGTTTAAACTTTGAACTAAATTTCTCCCAATTCCAAATTCAAAGTGCCTATTAGTGCTCCTTGGAATCGAAAGAAATTTAGTTCAAACTTCAAACTAAATTTCCTCCGATTCCAATTCCGGACCCCAATTCGGTGCTCCAAACATAATATTAGTTTGTTCGCGATTGATAATGTCTGTTATTTATGTTTTTTCTTTAGTTCTGGTGTCTGATGGAGGAGGAGGAGTTGGTGACAATCTTGAAGTTGTGCTGAGTGGAGAAAGCCTGTGTGAAATTGGGACTTGATATAGACACCAATGTGGAAGAGAAGGCTTTCGATTTTGAAGCATACTCATTGTGACGTACACTTGTAGAATTTGAAGAAATCATCAAGAGAGAAGGATCCTGCTAAAAAGTTATGGCTTCCTCGTGTAAGTGCTGTGCAAAGCTTTCATAGAACTAATATGAACATAACATACATACATATATATATATATATATATATATATATATATATAGTTAATGTGGATGGTTTTTTATTATTTTTATGGCTTCAGGTAACAAAGGATGTTGAAGATTTAATGAATAAGTGGGATAGGTTTGTGAGGAAGTGGGAGCCCGCAGTTTTATCCCGGAAGAGGTCTACTGAAGAAAGAGCTGAAGACATATACATGTTGGAAGAAGCGCGCCAGATGTTGGTTTCATGTTTATAGGGTGTGGAAGATACGAATGGGATGCATTCGGCCCCACTCTTCGCGGTGGCTAATCATCTTGGTACCCTTGTAAGTTGTAACCGAGCTCATGCTAACAATTCATGAAAATTTTAAGCAAAACCTCCATTTATTTTGACATGAAACATTTTTGGGATAAAATAATTTTCCAAATATATTTCAATAATAATACAGTAATAAATCTCTCTGTCTGATATTTTCCACTTATTATGATTATTAGTTCATTATATTTAAATATCCTTCTTTCTATATGGTACGTGAACCACAGATCCTTGAACTAAATATGTTCCAAACTTATTATTGACTTGTGATTCATTTTATCAATCAATTAGTAATACACAAGCAAACAAGGCATTCGACAACCAAATATAAAAAAAATTTGACAACACAAATTGGTAAATTAAACGACTGGCTTTCGACTCTCAATATATGAATTTCTTGGTTGGGTGGGAGAGATGATTCATTCATATACTCTGAAATAGCAGAGGCTCGTAGGTTTCTCCCGTCCAACATCCATTTTTGGTTCCCTCTTTATAATTCTCCTTAAAAAAAGGCACAAAACAACAAAAGTTCATGTCAACCCAATTTACAGAAACTATATTTCTATATATTTTTGGCAATATATATTTTTTTCAAGTCACAAAAAAAAAAGGCTCAACTGGGAAGGGAAAAAAAAAAAACAAAAAATCAATGAGCGACACATGTACAAGCCTCGGACTCTCTCATTCTTGTGTGTATATGAAAGCTTTCTCGCCATACTTTCAAATAAGTTCACCTTTCAAAGCAGAAGCAGCCCTTTGAATGGCCCTGGCAACCCTCCAGATCTCATGCTGAGTTGCTGCCTGCCGTTCTCTCTTGCTCATTCTTTTAAATCCAGAATTAGCATCAACTATTCCAGGGAAGAAATAAAGTTTGCTCTCATGTTTTCTAGGAGGCCCGTAAACCTGCATATATCAAATACCATTGTCTAATGAGTTAATGTGCGCCATACTTATGGCTACTAGCTGCTGCTAGAATAATTTGAACTGTTGCAATGTTTGTAAAGGTGAGAATGCAGTTATGCTGTCTGGGGAACAGCAACAGCAATTATCTTTCAGACTCAAAATAGGCAATTTGAACATTCAACAAAGCTTATATTCTCTATTGCAATTCCTTTCGGGGTGAAATACAAAACTTGGTAGAAATGACGACACTTTGAATAAGTCAACAGTTGGAAAAGATGGAAATGAAGCCACTTACCAGATGCTTGAACCACTGCCTTCCTTGAAGCCCTTCTGCATCCAAGAAGCCTCTCTCAGCTAACATCAGTCGATCATTTAATCTTCGCTTTTTCAACACCAAAAGATCATCCACAATTTCTTGCTCCCTCAGTTTCTACAGTCCAAAACAATAGATGCTCACTAATTTAAGACAATAGCACGCAAAGGAGACAAAAAATTATGAACATGCCGATTTTTAATTTTTAAACAGGAGGTCTTCTTTTTGTAATAAGAGCGCCATTCTCACAAATTTTTTTCAGGTTCATTTTTTTTTTTTTTATTCTTTCGACAATGGTGGTGTTGGGCCTCTTATAACACTCCATAGTCCACCACCGGGGACATGTAGTCCTTCGTCCCACATACACCAATTACCAGAAAATCTGTGGGAGGGGCTCCAAGGGAATTCGAACACACAAGTCAAGAGTTTAAACTTTTACGAGTTGGGATTCTTCAAAATTAAGATCATTTTGTCCACAAATACCTCAAACTTTCAATATACCACTTATTTTTAGTTGACTATTCTAATTATTCTCTATTATCAAACTTATTTAATTTTTAATTTTATTAGTAAACTTAAAATTTCAATAAAATGAGAGAAATATCCTTGAATGCCGACCAATCATATTTCTGTCAAAGCTAATTGGGTTTTCAAAATGTATTCTCCAAAATGTTTACATTTCAGTAAAAAGGAAACTTTCGTGATTAATAGTTCTCACAAAGTCATGATTGATGATAAATGGCAAATTCTACCAACTGAGATGGGAATTAAAACTCCTTTAATTGGAATTAAGGTGTACAAAAAAATTGTGATTCAAATAATCTAGTCAAACAAACAAATAATTTTTGGTTAGTTCCCAGAAACTTTAAATTATTAGCTTGATTTCCCACATAACAAATAGGCCCTTACAGAAGTTCCAACAAAGAATCTCATATCTAACCTTTGCTTCCTCCTTGGCTTCTTTAGCAGCAGCCACAAGTTGTTGAATTGATGCAGTTATAGGATTTAAGGAGACATTCCTTTCCAAAAAGTTGCTCAAGACATTTGTATAATCCTACAATAAAAATAAAACTAAAAACATTGTCAAAATCTAGTCCTTCACAATGTGGTAGCAGGTGGGGGGATTCTTCATTAACAAAAAAGAAAAGAAAAAAAAAGTTTTAGTCCTTCAAACCATGAAAAGAAAAATGGATGCAAAATTTTGTATTAATTACATTATCTTTACGATGCATCATCATGGTCCAAAAGCAATAAAAAAAGACTAACATAAAATAAAGAACTGACCAACCATGAATGAAGTAGAAGTCCATCAGGTACAATCAATTGAAGAAATATTGCTAATTACTAATGTTGGACATTTTTACCTGCAATTGAACTGCATAAGTGAGGTAATTTAAAGGTAGAACTGGATCATCTGCCAGGTGAAGTGCAAGAAGTCCCCAAATTCCTGCAACTGAGCCAGCACAAAAAGTAAAAGGCTGAGTTATCTTCAATAATGATAATAGGCTAGCTGTTTAATGGTGTATTGGCAATTCAGAATAGCAATAAAGGACTTTGAAAGCTAACCGGCCACATGACGATGAAACAATGGATCTCCATAGTTTGCCATCCAGCTATACGAGTCAAAAGCAGTATGATAGACGGGAAAATCTGCACAACAATGAAGATTTACATTATGCATGTGATGAGCACCAAAACTTCATTTGACAATTTATTAATCCAAGGTTCAACAAATCACAGGTACAAACTTTTTAAACCAAATAAATATGATAATGACTTTATTTCCTTGGGGCTTCGAAACACAACAATTGAACTATCAAGCTGGTAATCTAAAATGAATCATTACCTATTACAAGTGCAGTTCAAGCTTACCATGATTTTGTTTTTATATTGTTTCTGGACACCATATTGGTGTGTGGGCACGCTAGCACGTGTAGTGGACAGCTAGAAGTTAAACAATAATAGCCTCCTGTAGGTAAATTTTCATTTTCTCCTATATTTAGTAACTCTTTCCACATAAGTGTTTATAGCTCGTTATCTGAGGTAAAACAAGTTGTTATGTCAACTTTTGAGTTCAGTAATTCATGCATACATGCACCATGGACATTGAAATCAATAAGCTGTATATTTGTGTAACATATTTAGATGCCTTCCGCCAATATCCGACATGAATTGGCAAAAATGTGTACCGGAGAATTCACCAGAACTTGATAGAAAGTACAATAAGAATTAATTATATATAGCAAGAATATGACTAATCTAAAAAAGTTTTATGGGAGCTTATCTTTGTTTTTAGCATGACACTACCTTATAGATGGATGGATGGATGGGTAGATAAGTAGATACAAATGTGTGTGTGTGTGTGTGTGTGTGTGTGTAACATAGAGAGAGAATTAACAATCAAATGCCGCTACACTAGATTATTTTTAACTTATCTAGAAAATAGATTGACATTTTCACGGTTTCCACCAAAAATGCGAAAGTACAGCTTCTTGAGATATATACCTCTGCCATAGTATAAATCAATAGAAGGAACCCCGGCATGCTGCAGAAATGGAGCAAAATCTGAATCTACTCCACTGAGTCTCTGAATCTGCAATTCCACCGAAGATATTCTCAGTCAGAAAATTTCCATATATATATAGTGTTCTGCAATTCCACTAAGATATTCTTAACCATAAAATTGCCATATGTTTGTAGTGTTCTGCAATTCCACTATAGAATTACAAAGGCAACGACAGACCCACTTTAAATGTATATATGAAAAATAACAGAAAATATTTTGCTTCATTATGCATGTAGTATTGTTCTGCGAATCAGAAAAGTCATATAAAGGTGAACTTACGTTGATGCCTTTATTGGTAACTGTGCACTTCTCGTATACTGTCATGTCCTCTGAATCAGGATCCTTAACCTTAAACATGTATCAAAATCAAGATTGAGACATGAAATGTATAGCAGGCATCATAAATCAAATTTACATCCAAAAGTAACTGATGGGAGAATTTTGAAATTTTTGTCTTTCTGCTATAGTTTTATATACTTTACCTTCTTTATGACCTCAACAACGAGATCGTCTAGCTGAGGAGTTGCACCAGCAAAGAGTCCAGGCCCTTGAACCGCACAATCCACATTGAGGTAGGCTATAGCTTTAGACCCCAAATTCACAAGGTTTTGCTCAACCCATTCAGTAGATCCTATCTGAAACCAAAAGCAACACAAATGGTTCAATTTTGAAAAATGAATGAAAAATAACATGCTCAGGTGGCACAAGCATGATCTGTTTGATTACTTCCAGATGCAGTATTCAACATAAAAATTGCATGTATCTTTAAGAAGAGACCACAAAAACAGGTCCATACCATTCTAAAGCAAAAACAAACACACACACACACACACACACACAAATTGCAGTATATACGCATAGCTGAACAAGTAAAGGCAGGTTCCACCCTCCACAAATTGAGCTTTATTGATTGAAATCCCCATCCCATAACTATTCTGTGTCATACCATGATAAGGGTGGATACTACCGTACTGCTGTCATTCACTGTAAATGGGAATCAGGTTTTACTCAATGCAGGCAAACCTGCAAGGCTGTCAAAACAATACATGTAGTTGTTTGACCAGCAGTATGCTCTTCTAAATGTACAGCATGACTAATTAGGATTCATGTTCACAATGAATCTCATATGTCAGCAACAAGATAGTACGCCTATCGGAATATTCAGGCATTCATGTTTAATCAAATACTTTTCCCAGACATTTTATACATGTAAATTACTGCATATACTAGCAGAACTCTCAGGTTGAGGGATTTAGAAATTAACACTGTGAGCTTATCATCAGATACCATGGTACTAGCCAGTGAACAGTGGAGATAGAATATTACCTACCATCCCAAATTCTTCTGCATCCCAGCTGCAGAGAATGATTGTCCTTCGAGGATTCCATCCCAAGCGCATCAGAAGAGCATAACGTCGAGCAACATCAAGCAGGGCAGCAGTTCCACTATTGGGGTCAACCGCTCCATAAGTCCATGCATCTCTATGGTTTCCTAGTAGTACAAAACGATCAGGCTCTTCTGATCCCCTTATTACAGCAAATACATTATGAATTGTTGCCATCTTTTTCTCCCCCTGAAAAGAGAAAATTTTGTTTTAATACAAAAATATGGGATTCCAATAAATAAGTGAGGAAAGCAGCCCCCCTCCCGAAGTTCCATTTACCTTTTCTCAGCTCTGATAGGTAATATAAAAAGATCTACAAATAAATGAAGATATGAAAGAATGGAGAAATGAGTTCAACGGATGCCATTAAGTGCTGATGTACAAATGACAAATAGAGGCCCTTAACCGGGAAAAATGAAAAATAGAAGCATTTCAGATAAATACTAAATACAAGAGGCCAAAATTGAGCTCATAAACACGACTTTCCAATTTCCACAAACTCACAATAAGCATCAGTCAATTCCTGTTCAACTACACAACTACTTTAGAACTCTAAAAAAGGCAACCACTTACTACATAAAGTGAAACTGTGTATCACATAAACCATTTTTACTAAGATACTCGAAACGCTTAAAAGTACCCCTTTTTTGTACATTAGTTCATCATAAACGGAACTTACTCAGATCCTAGGCCTCGCAATTCCTTCACCAGATCCTATACCACCCAATTGCCAGACACATGGTTAATCGGAATTACGTGACCAGGTTAAAACACTTGCAAGCACCTTTTTTGTACATTAATTCATCATAAATGGAATCCTAGCCTAAATCCTATACCTCCCAAATGCCAAGCAGTTCAGTGAAATTTGGACAGCTCAAGATGCTTATATCCAAATAGGGAAAATATTAAGGAAAAAGAAGAAAGAAAGAAATTTTCTATGGAGTACAGCTCCAAATTATCAAAATTTTCTAATTATTTGATTTCCCCAATTCCTTGCCCAAATCCTAGACTTTCCCATATTCAGGCAATAAAAAATCTTTACACTTTGATCAATACTTTCCTCCCTACCGTGGATAACCTCCTAATTTCCACACCAGATTCCTTATCACCAAACAGGAAAATAAAGTATGTACAACTCTTCTAAATTATAAAATTTTGTATTTCATTGGTTCTATTTCCCCACTCCCACCAAACTTCATAGATACTATTAACTATGCAATTGAGCTAATAAAATTAATGAACTAGCTGATCATTGCTTGGTGCAATGGTTACACTCGGGTTCAGGTATGAAAAAGACAGGTATGGCTCCAGCCTTTCCTAAATGAGCTGATAATTCCAAAACTCTAACCCATAATTTGATCCAAAATTCTCAATTTACAGCCAAATTCAAACCAATTCAATTCGGGCACATAATCTAAAACCTAATCCAGAGGCAACCACAATAACACAATTTTCACCAAAGAACATTTTACTTCAATTATAGAAACAATTCCACACTATATAAAGACAAAAGAAAGAGCAACCAACCTGGTAAGTGAAGTTTAGCATAGTCGGACCGGGACCAACCCTGCGGACCTTAGACTTTAGAGTACCCCTCCATTCATAGGGCACCCTGGCCCCCTCAAGCGACCTCAATATGGTCTCTGCTGTTTCAAAAGATATGGGCATGGACGGTATATTTGGGAATTTCATCAAAACCTCACTGTCCTCCATCTCTAACCTCTCTCCATCACCAACACCAGCCCAGCCAGGAGTCAATGGGTCCCCCAAACCTCTCATCACCGTCCCTCTCTCCACCCCACTCCTAAACCTCTCCCCTTCTGTGTACATTAGCACAACCGCCACCCCTCTCTCTGCCGCTGCCTCCACCACCGCATTCCTGGAGGCCTCCCCCCTTCTCACCACCGCCACGCACCCACTAACGCTCACCCTCAGCGCCGCCAGCGCACGGTAGTCCACCTCCCTCCCGTAGTTCACGAACACGGCCTTAGCGTACGCGGCGCCGGAGGGCGAGTAGGCGTGGTACGGCCGCACCACGCCGTCGTTGCGGGACCCACCGGGTTCGGTCAAGGGGAGGTTTCTGAACGTGCCGTTGCTAAAGTACGCGGAGAGGGAGGCGTGCGTAGGGTAAGAGAGGAGGGCATTGTAGTCTTTGACGTGGGTCTCTAGCCCTAGGTCCTCGAAGTGGTTCTGGACGTAGAGGGCGGTTCGGAGGGCGGGCTCGGTGCCGGCGAGGTGGGGGTGGAGGGTGAGGGCGCGGAGGTAGGAGGAGAGTGTGTAGTTGGTGGCGGAGGAGAGGAAAAGGTTTCGAAAGTGGAGGGTATTTTGGGAGGTTTTGGCCTGTGTCATAGTTGAGTGTGGTGGTAGTGGGTGGTGGTGGAGGGTGTAGAGCCCTAGAATGCAGAGGATGACCACAAAGAGGAAGGTACATGAGGGCCATGGTAATGGAGTGAAGATGGAAGTGGGTTTGGGAATGGTTAAGGAGAAAGGTTGAGCCATTGTAGAGAGAGAAAACCTATATGTACATAAATAGATAGATAGAGAGAGAGAGAGTTGGTGGGTGCTTGGGTGAGTTACTGAGTTTATGGATGGAGAAAAGAAGGGAAAGAACGGTTTCAGCTTTTTCAGGGGGGTGGTGGTGAGAGTGATGACTGACGAGTTTCAGTGGGGGTTACAGTTTTACTCATATAATTGCCGACCTTTTTTTCCCAAGAATAAATAAGACATGATCTAATAGTTATACTTTTTTATTTAGCCAAGGATATCAAAAGGTTGTTAGTTAATTATTCTTTTTCATTTTTTAATTTCTTCTGCATTTGAATATAATTATATGATTCTCTCCTTTCTGTACTGCATTTGCAACCCACTTCTTTTTTGATTTCATTTATTCTTTTCCTTTTCTTTCATTCTTAATTTTAAAACTAAGCCATAAATTATTTCTCTTTGTATTTCTTCTTTCCTTTTTTTTTTTTTTTTTTAATTTAAACCAATATCTTCATCATTTTCCTTCTTATTTTTAATAACATTATCTCATATTAATTTTGTTCACCTTCTGTCTCTTACCTTATTTAACTACTTGAGCGTCTTTGAATTTTTTTTTTTATAAATGTCTCCAAACCATTTTAACTTACTTTCTAAATTTTCTCACAAACAACCACTACACCTAATTTTTCACTCGCTACGTTTATCTATCTTAACTATTCTTGTCCTTTTTTAGGACCCAATACTCCAATCTCATACAACACAATTATCTAATAACGTATTTGTATATAACTTTTTTTCTTTTAACTTACCTCTATTCTTTTATCACATATAGCTTGTCTCCCTCCCATTAGATTCACACCTAATCAAAATTCTAAATATTTAAAAAGAGAGGTACATAGGATAAGAGCTATGATTATTTATTTATAGTGCGATTTGATATATGTATATATTAAAAGAAATTCGTATCATTTTTCATAAATATCAAAAAGGATTCTAATTCAGTGATTAATGTAAGAAAATTGGCACTGTTATGAATGTGACTCTCTTGATAGTTTACACTCCACAATCAATCATTATGATGCAAGATAATTTTTGGAAGTGTTGTGATACAATTCACATATGAAGATGATTAGGATAAGTTTATGTTGTGACACGACTTACACATAGATTTTTACGTGATGCATTCGTATGTGATGGTGATATTCCAATTTGTATTCATGATGAATGGAGAGAGAGGTAATTAAAGAAGTTCAAAAAGACTGCTAGTCTAGTGACGGCCGGTCTGGTCTAAGCTGAAGTTGTCAACGTACGTAGCTAGGCTAAGGTGGCATGGATTTTATTTTTACAGCAACACATTGAATACGGTCACATACGACAAACTTATATTTATATAAACTCTAAAATGCAGGCCGGCGACAGAGCCGACGACAATCACATCCGCAGTGTTGCCGGATGGTGCATCACAGCTCATATAAAAATGTAGTGCACCATTTAATTTACGTCAAATTTACTTGAACATCGCTGTCATGGAAGGAATTTTTTGATGCGGGGAATTCCACGCAGGCATTTCTTTCTTTTTCTTTAATTGCCAAATTCGTTTCATAATCAGAATCTTAAATATTAATTTAATTATTAATTATATTATTTAAATTATTAATTATACTTAATAAAATAATTAATATTTAAAAAATTATAAATATTAATCCAACCAAATTACTAAATAATCTCTGATTCATAAAAATTTATTTAGAACCTGAATTCGTTCAAGATCAATCAAAACCAACTTAACTCGTGTCGGATTCAAGTTAAGTTGTCAGGTTGTGTCAAACTTTACCGCCTTAAACTTAAGAGTCGTGACTTTAAAAAATAGCAAAATTTAAAAGGCCATGTTTGACAATTAATTTTATATACTTTGTATTTTTAATTTGATTGAAATAGAAACAACGCTTCTTGTACGATGTGTGTTTGTGTTTATTAATAATCGAAAGTATGTTTGATAACGTTACATTTATTACAAGTTTTTTAAAGCAAGAATATGAAAACATATATTTAATAAAAAAGTATTACAAATTTTAAAAATAAAATAGATAGGTTTTTTTTTTATAAGTATTTTAATTGCTATAGCAGAGAAGCAAATCAGAAACATCAATATAGTACTTTTGATTTTGGTACCAGTTAAAATCTCAACAAATATTATCAAATATTATTCTCGCATATTGTTTTGCTTACAGTACATTGCCGGAACAAAAAACATAAAGCAAAAATTCGAATGGGTCAGAAAATATGAGGATTATGCGTGTTATTAATAAGATGCAGTACTATATTTTTGCACGACTACAAAATATTGAAGTCACATGTGAGAGTGTCCGAAAAGTATGATATTGGACAAAGACATGATAATTAGATGAGGGGAATTGTGTGAGGCTTTGTACGAGATGATGTGTCACATTGTCCACATTCGGAATCGATCCGTCAACAAAAGTGGTGTCCAGGACTCAGGTGTGGGGTGCCCTTACCCTCACTTATCTATCTATATACAGTGTGTGTGTATATATATTAATTTGTGGCTCATAGCCCAAAAAGGTTGGACAAATGAACTCAATTATCTAATTTCCTCCTCTTATTGTCTCTTCATCACTGCTTTATATTTACTTACCATTCATCTAACCATTATGATTTTAGAGCTTTTTTGCCTCACTACTTGGACATATTTCTCTCCAAGTCGGAGAAGTAACTTTCCGGGATGAAAAAAACGATGACAAGGGAGAAACTTTAATAAAGTATGAAAGGAGAGGAGGTGTTGGTCCCACAACGCGGTATTGGGGCGTCGGTGTCCCCTCACATTGTTTTTAAGTTAAACATTGACATTCAAAAAGATTTTATTTTTATTTTGAAATAAATGATTTGAATAACTATTAATTATAACAATTGATTACAAAATTAATTATTGGGACATTTTAACTCATAAACATAGATCTCAAACCTAAGAATAGAGATATTATCAAAAAAGACAATTTTATATCAACAATCACAAAGAAAATGAAAGGAAAACTAGCATTTAAAGAATCAATATGTGGTCATATTAATTCGACTTGAGAGAGATAGAGAGTCTGTTCATTGAGATATTTTTCTCCCCCAATCAAATACTAGTGATACATAAACCAAAGGGAATCTGTTGGCCCATATTTTGTTTTGGTGAATAAGATATTTGAAGGAGCATATATAAGGTCGGCAGAAATAAAAATCTCTCTCTATATATATATATATTACTACTATTAATGTGTGGAAAAAAAAAAGAAAAAAAAAAAGAAAAGAAAAAAGAAGCATATTCCACTTCATAAATGTAGCCAATACAAGGGCTGGTAGGTGAATGTCATATATTTTCAGTAGATACTAGGAATAGGCAGCATGTGGGTGGCTATAAATGCATACAAAAGGAGCTTGTCATGGCTTTTGTCTTGGAAAGAGACACAACTTTTTCAATTGGTTTGTTGGATATTGCTTTGTTGAATGCAACTTTTTGTTGTGAAGGATCGAATTAGAATAAATATGTCTTTATTTTCCTTTTTTTCTCTTTCGCTTTCACTTTGCATTTCATGCTAAAAAGCACTCCCACTAAACATGAAATGAAGGTAGTGGATAGATAGATAGATAGATAGGACAGAGTGCCATGAGTTGGAAGGGCATTAGCTTCATTTTGATGCATGGATGTCCATCACCTGAAAAGGATACCTCCAAATAATGCAATCATGAAAGATGCTCTTATAAGGAGAGAAGCGTTGAGAAGACAATTCCATGCGGGTCCCATCACACTTTGTCTAATATTGTTGGTTTAAGTTCATTATGCACACATGACATTTGAATTTTGGCACTGGGGCAGGCAACTACACCAATGCCATTCAGTTGGAATTCTAATTAAACAAGATTCACAAGGATGCTCACTAGCCAAATCTCTCTTCTGAAATATAAAATTGGTTCAGATTTAGCCAAGTCGTGATTTTGTTAAACTCCATATAAATAGTAAAGTTGAATAAGATGATGATGCGGCTGAATCTCAATCGCAAGATTGATGACTGCGAAATTCAAGAGACAAATTTTACCAGAAAAAATCCATTTCTGTGTAATTGTGGTAGTAGAGATTGGTTAAGTTAAGGTATCTGACGCTGTGCAATGAGGTTCAATACGATCAATTCTAGTATTTATTGTGGAGCTTCAAACTTATTTGCTACTACTAAACTCGAGATTGTTTATCAGCTAAGTATTGTTATTGAGAAGCAATTTATGCTTTAGACTACAAATTATAGTTAAGTTAGCTACTTTTCAAGCAGTGGTAATTTCAATAACAATCTGTAAGACCAAATGGCATTACAGAATTACTTGTCAAAATCTTAACCAAATATTTTGTTAAGATTTAATTAAATTATTTCATTGGAACACTAGTGGGTGTGTTCATTAGGTACATGGCTTACTCTCAAAAGAAAAAGAAAAAAAAAACCACATGCATATATATACCCGTGATCTGTTAATAAACTGCTCCTGATCTGGTCCAATCCAATGGATAATAGTCCAAAAGTTCACGGGACAACCAGAAGAAGCCCATGAAGTCTCTCATCGCTCTAACATACGTGCATGAATTGCACATATGAACATGTACGTAGTATGAACAGGTACACTTATAAGTACATATGAACATGTATGTAGTATATATATGTTATTGGGAGGATAAGGTTTATTTGTCTGATATAATAAAATAGAATTGCTATTGAGCCACGTCCTTAATGAAAACCACATACCAAACATGTAAACTGTATTTGTACATCTCTCTCTCCCATTTTTCCATTGCTCTTACACTCCACAACATTCAAGCAGCCTCAAAACAGTAAGGCTGGCAAAGGCAGTCTATAGCATGCATCAGTTTTCTCCGAGGTCCCACAGCATCCGCACCCATATCCTTAAGTTTATTCATGGTAAGATTCACCAACTGGAATTTATTAACACACTTCCCTTGAAAGATCTTCACAAACTGGTTGAGTCCGAGTGACGCTAACCAACTGCTTAACCCACCAGCTCTTCTAAGCTTCCTCTCGAGATTTGATGCCCTCATTTTCTGATTTAGCAACAGACCTCGATCAAGGAAGCCTAAGGACCGCTTGTGCACTTTTGAGGTGCTGCATATACCAAGTGTATTACGGCATCTAAAACTATCAACCGTGTCTTGATTTCCTGACCCCATACTGTGATGAAGCCTCGGTACCTTTGCAAAGGTTGATGGAATGGGTTGAGAACAAGGAATGTTTCTAGCAGTTGGATTATCCTTTTTAGGAGCCAATGATATGACCTTCTCTCTTTCATCAGCTGAATGCATACCAGCACATGTCTCAAATTTGCGCTCTGTTTGGGTGTTGATTGTTTTTCTGGGTCGTGTTTGTTGCTGACTCAATCCTGGTCCTCCTGGTTTTACCATTGTGGACTTTTTGGTAACAGGTAAAGGAGGGACCAGAATGGTGACTCTCTGCTTCTTGACTATCACCCAACTATCTTCTCCAGACATGTCAGCCTCAGGGCTACTTGGAGTGTTATTCTTGTTCCCCTGTACTGCCACCAACCGTCTTTGTTTTGGTTTCGCCATTAGTTACTGACCTGCTTTTTATAAAATATCAGACACATATGCTCTCATATATATAAGACTATTAATCTGAATATCCACCAGCAATGAGCTACAAAGTCTAATAAACATATATATTAATATATATATATATGTATATATCACACAAACAGCTGACACAAAGTGATGACCAAGTACAAAACCAAGATATATATAATATGTTTTACTGTATTTTTTAGTTACTTAAAAGGATTAAACAAAGGCAAATTGAAATCAACATCCCAGGATTATTAATGTTGGATCATGAGATATAGGTGTAAAAGTTAGAGATTTAAAAGGTTAGTCTAACCAAGCTGGACACCAATGCCAACTGCAGAGGTGATCTGTCTTATCTAACAAGCAAAGACATGACAGATTTAGGTACTCTCTATGAAAAAAGACAATTATTTATTGTCGTCCTCGTGATTGAGAATGCTGCAAGGGACGAACTTGCCACAACCTAACATTTGGCATAATTTGCACACGTATGCCCTCAGACTCCATTCATGGTTGGCAGACTAAAATTGCCGACTGTACTGATGAGCAATAGCCACCAAGGAAACCAAGAAATATATACATAAGGCATATAACTACAAAAATACCCTACAAGATTGAGAAATAGTGACGGATGACATAACAGCAAGATGAATAAGGTTGATGCAGCACGGGTCCTATGTAGGACGGAATAAAAGTGACAATTGGTATCCCATTGATAAACTCCATACGACTTAGTATTCAGTCTTCTCATACAGACTCTATATCAACCAAAAGCTCAACTTCTCCTACATAGAATGTCTATCAACTTCGGTCTTTAATCCTGTTATGCTGCTTTAAATTACGACCAACATTAATAGCTGCATTATCATACTAAAGACTTAATTTGATAGAAACAAAAGCCCATTCTCGTTGGATAAATTCTCAACCACAGAAGTTCACATCCCACAAGCCATTGCCTTGAACTCCAGTTCAACACTGGACCTCACAGCAACTAATTAGATTCACTCCAATTAGATCCCTCCATTACAGGCACAATACCCCCTGATCCATCATCCATCATTTGATTGTGCGGCTCTGTCCACTCCAGTCTTCCCTTGAATAGAATTCCACCCCCACACATCCAAACTTGAAAAAAGAAAAGAAAAAATAAAAGTAAATAAATAAGAGTTAGATTGTTCCGGACGACATCTTTATCTATCAAAGTTTCCAGCTAGCATGCATGAACTAGATTACGGTAGTCACAGCTAGCATTTGATATCAGTGTGAATGATCTGGTTCTCAACACAAATAATATCAACAGGTGAGAATGTACAGCAACCTATTCACAAGTTTAGAACCAATAATACTATTCGGTAATAAATTTGCAGTACTATCTACAAGTGTACATCGCAGCACTCACATCTATAAGAGCATCAATGAACAGGCTCCCAACAGTAACATTATTATATGTGTCGCAAATGTAATCACCTTTTCGTAAGTTCAGAACCGATGATTCTATTGTGCTACTAGTATTATCCACAAGTTTACATCCCAACGTTGATGTCTCCTTTAACGTTTACTTTATGAGATAAATATGCTCCATTTAGGTATAGAATTATGAATCCTGATTAAAATCTTTATGATAAATACCATAGATTGACTACAAACTCTCAAGGAGAGTCCTCAACCACTTCATTTCTTCCTCACACTGTTTGTCATTGCAACATCATTTAATCTTTCTCTACAGAGACTTAATGGACAGGGCATAATTGGCTCAATTTTCTTAGTTTCTTTGCAGCCACATATAAGTATCTCCACCCTAAATCTATCCAACCAAGCTCTTGTAAGATGTTGTTGTCTTGTAGACATATAGAGCTCTTTCCAATCCATACAATTTCCATTAAGCAGAAGGATATCCGAACCTAAGAGTGACACTTCTGCGAAAATCCTCCTTTAGAAGCTTATTTAAATCAAACTGCAGTGGTCCGTCAAAATTAGCTCAGAATAAAGCAATCCTCAGGAGAAAAATTGATATATTGCTAATAGAGAAAATATCTCTGCTAACATCTTGAGTATAAACAAGACCATTAGCTTCGCCTTTATTTCCCCACTCCTTCCTTCTACCTTATAATTAGGTCTGGAATTCGTTCTAAATTATAATTAGGGCTGTAAAAGGAACCAAACTGTCCTGAACAATCGAGCTAGATTAAGTTATAAGCTTGTTAAGGCTCATTAATTCAAAAGGTGAGCCGAGCTGGAACCCATTTTTAAGGATTGTTAATAAATCAAGTCGAGCCCAAGCCGCCTCCAGCTAAACTCGTACTGGTTCATGAAAACCAATCCATATAATCTTTAGCCATAAAGCCTATCCTCTAAGCAGTTAAGTTAGGTTCAATGGGTCCATTGACTCCATCAAGAGTATTATCCACACTTGTCTCATATAAGATTAGCATTTTATCTTATCTCTCACTCATTTTCTCCCGCACTCTTTCTCTTTCATATGCATAATGCCCTCCCACTCTCTCATTAACCCAGATCTAACGATGAGGTAATTGCGGGAGATTCTGCCATGACCGTCGGCAACAGAACCGATTTGCTCAACCATTAGATAACCTATATTCCAATACCTCTGAACCAAACAGATTGCGCGCACAACCACTGAACATATCATTAATCTGCAGAAAACATCCCTAATTGGTACTAGTAAATAGACTACTTCCCTAGTTGGTACTAATAAATGAATTACATAAAAACAACAATTCCAATAGCATTAAAAATTTACTAAAACAATCCATGAGAAGCATCACTACACAATTCCATTTGTAATGACCGAGAAAATTTCTAAATATTAGCGGTGGAATTTTGTTTTGTTTACTCTTTTCAGTTATCTATTTAATGTGTGGATATTCTAACAACAATCTTAGCAGGAATTAACATTGCCTGCCGCCATAATAAACAGAGAGTACACTGAAAAGGAAATACGAGCATTGATGAATATAGAATATGTATAATTGACACGAAACGTTACAGATTCTCCGATGAAAAGCCCAAAAAAGCAACATGTATTATCCAGGCGTTTAAGAGAACTGAAGTCCAAATCCCTGGAAAAGGCAAAAAATATACATAGTTAGGTTTATATCAGAATTAAAGAAACATCTATATAACACAGATATATGCAGTAAGATCGTATAGTAAAAACTAGATCGATAGATCGGTTGAGGGGAAACACCTTCAGAAGAGAATCAATGAGACCGGAGTCGGGAATTACCTTATCGTTGATCACTGAAGTAGAAACGGAGTCGTTGGCGGTTACATATATGCCCTGTTTGGAGTGATGAAATGGGAAGAAATAAAATGCTCCTCTCCTTTTAAATTTATATATTTATATATATATATATATATATATATAAACATAATAATAAATTATTCAAAATTTTCCTCCTTTTTTTTTTTTTTTTTATAAATTTAAAGAGTTGTGTAAGAAAAAAGAAGGGGGGCGGATATTGCAAAACCTAGACTTGTTGTGCATAAACCAATCAGAAAATTTGGGGAAAAATGGCGTTCATGAATGGGTGCGCTTAGAATGTTTGTTTTCGCAAATGGGCATGTCTCTTTCTTGATATCTTAACTACATATATGAGTAAATTTTAAGGGATTGGCTTTAAGTGATTTAGAGCATCTCCACTCCATGCTTCAAATTTTATATACTAAATTTATTTGAGGTATTGCTGTGGCAAATTGATATATGAAATTTTGACATATTCCAATAGATATATCAAATTTATTAATTTATTAATATTTGAAGTTTCAGATAGAGATGTGATAAGTACACAAATCTAATTATTTTCTGCACCAAAATAAGTTTTTAATTAGACTTTTATATTATTTAAATATTCTTATATACTTGTTTTGTGTTTTGTAGGTGTTAATGCATAAATAGAAAGAATGCAAGCAAAAATAGAGAACAAATGACAATCCATTGTTGCAATACAGAAGGTTATATGTTTTACTAAGCCAAAAAAAAAAAAAACACAAGGAGCATTGAAGCTGAGATGGAATTGTGGTCAAAGTAATTTCCTTTCTTCTTCTTTCAAAATATTATATATATATATATATATATATATATATATACACACACTACTCAATGTATACGCGTAAGTAAATAAAGCATAATTTGTCACTAAATTAAAAAAATGTAAATATTTTGATATGCCATTCTTACATCCACCAAAAAAAAAAAAGGTCCACCTTATTAATTAATAAAGATGAATCATAATAGTTAATGTTATGAACGGCGATTAAGTAAACCATTAAAAATGTGAGCAAATAAGATGAGGTGCTGGTTTCTATGAAAATAATAACATGCAATGGTAAAATGATTGCAATGAACCAAAAGCATACAACATATTAATATTTGTGTTTTTAAATATAATTTGTTTTCATTGGTATTAGAAGGATATCTCTTGGTGTGCTAAATATATTTGATACACTTATTGATTTTAATATATTTTTAAATATATTCATGATTCAAATTTTAAAATTGTACGATGAAAATCTTTGGAAAAAATATATTTTTATTAACACAAATAATAAATAATAACCCACTACACAAATAAAAATAATTAAACCAAATGAAATGAGTAAACATCTTTGACGCTAAAAAAAAAAAAAAAAAAGTTTTACTTTTTTTCTTTCAGAAGAAATTTAACTTGAACCATTCAATATAAATATTTGACAAGATGTGAAAAACTTAATGAGAATGAATTTTGGTTTCACCAAACATATTTTTAACAAAAGTAAAACTAAATTAAATAAAATATGTTTAAAGACAATTCATAAACTAATGGATATAATTGCGAGGAAAAAAAAATGAATTTATAAATTCAAAACAAATATATAAAAATGTAATTTTATTGACATTAGTATAGTAGTAGAAGTATAAGGAGATTTAGAATGGGATTATTATTATTTTTGTAGATTTATTAAAATTTAAATTTTAGTAGAATGAGAATTATGAACTGCATATATTTTATTGATGTACCAAATTATTTTCACACCAAGTAAATATAGACATGGACAAATCAAATATATATATATATATATATATATGTAAATTATGCCAGTCCGATAGTAGATAATACCTAACAATGCAACCACCGGATTATACCTAACAAAGTAACCCAAATTCTAAATAAATCTATTTTCACCAGACTTATTTTAGTGACATTGTGAATATATGAAAAAATTATTAAAAATAAAAGAGAAACAAGGAAATAAGTTTTACTTTCGAATATAAATTATGCCATTGCTAAACAGAATATTAGCAATCTATTTTTTTATATGTATTTATGAAAGATTTAGTTACTTAATAATATTGATTCAATTTTTTTAAAAAAATATTGGATGACTTTAATAAATAAAAAAATATCTATTCTATAAAAAGAATTAATAAAATACATTTTATTAGTTTAAATTTTAGGATAAATTGCACAAAACTCTATTGAACTATCACCATTTTGAACAAAAGTTGAAGACGATAAATCAATCTCTCTTATATATATATATATATATATATATATATATATATATGTTGTATAGAGATGTAGATTCGGTCAATTTGCAAATGGTTCTGTTTATAGATCAATATTTTCATTTAATTTTTTAAAAAACAGACTCATTTTCTTTTAATTTCTAATCTCCTTTATACAAACCCATTTTTGTTTACATGAGAAAAAAGAAAACAAAATAACATGTGATGCACCTCTTTGTGTTGAATGATTTTCCTTTTTTTGCCATCAATCAAGGGTCCCTTCATTGCAACATAATTCAATCAACATCCATTTCGAGTTCTCAATCCTTGTATTGCAAATATATAAATATACATATATATATATATATATATATATATATATAAAATAAAAATTAAATCATCAAAACTTAAAGATTACATAAAGAGGCACAACTACATATTTTTTTCAAACATTGAGGCACGATTAAGTACTTATCTTATATTGTATTGCAATCTAATGAAAATCCCGAAATTAACACAATCTAAACTCAATTTGCATTGGAGTAACATTTAACAATTTTGAAATTTTCATTACAAATATGGAACGTTTTGAGAAAGTAAATTTAAATCAACAATACAAATTAAGGAAAAAAAAAAAACCACATGCTCTCTTTGTATTGAACGATTATCCTTTTTTGCCTTATTGAGTCCTTGCAACATAGTTTCAATCCTAGTATCACAAAAAAATAATAATAAATAAATAAATAAATCATCAAAACTCAAATATACAAAAAGAGGTACAACTAAGTACTTACCTTGTATTGTGTTGCAATCTAATGAAAATTATAAAATTTACCTTGTATTGTATTGCAATCTAATAAAAATTCTGAAATTAACACAATCTAGACTCAATATGTATTGGACTAACATTTAACAATTTTGATATTTTCATTACAAAGATGAACGTTTTGAGAAAAATAAATTTAAATCAACAATACAAATTGACACTAAAAATAAAAATAAAAAATAAAAAATAACCAACACATGGTCCATCTTTGTGTTGAATGATTACCCACCCTTTCTTCACCCTCCTATAAGGAATTTGATCAATTGATAATTCTCAACCTCCCATTTTCTTTCGTCAATCTCCTTACCTTCTCTCTCTCTCTCTATATATATATATCAATGTTTTCCTCACGGAACTTTAATTATATCTTATTAATATTTTTGTGTCTTTTGGTTGAAACGTATGATACAATTATAATAACTACAATTTAATTTAAAAGGAATTGACTTGTATTAAATATTGTCCATCATAAAAGGAAACGTTTAACAATGTAATTATTATATAGGAATAAGATGCCAATGAAACATTTTAATTTAAAAGATATTAACTCATATTAAAAATAATGGTTTGTGTGGATCATAAATAAAATGAAATGTTTTTATCCATATACTTATAGAATTAAGATGCCAATGAAACGTTTGTGTCCTTTAAGGATTAAGCAAAAGAACTAAAAAAATATTTGAAAATTTAAAATATCCTACTCATATTAAAAAATACAATTGTTATATAAGAATAAGATGGAAGGAAACGTATTTAAAAAAAAAAAAAATACATCCTTAGGGGTGGTCTTCACCAAAAGAAATCGTAATATAAAATTAATAGTAATTAAAATTTAATTTAAAAGCTAAGCTATTAACTAATATAAAAAATACTAAAAAATGTTTGCAAATTCAAAATATCCTACTCATATTAAAAATAGAAGTTTGTATCCATCATAAAAGGAAACGTATAAGAATACAATTATTATATAAGAATAAGATGGAAGGAAATGTTAATATATATATATATATATATATATATATATATATATAGTATGAATGATTAGATGAATCATTAAGTGCTGTAATTTGATATAGGTCATTAGGTGCTTTAATGAGAATTTTTATTAAAAAAAATGATGATTAAAAATGTTAAGAAATGTGATTTTTTTGTGATTTTTTTTTTTTTTTCAAAAAAGTTAAGAAATTAGGTACACTTTATTTTGGATGAATAATAATGTAAAAATTGATTGTATCACTGTAGATGACCTCTTCAAATTCAAATAAAAAATGTGACTTTCGATATGCTAATTAATACATGATGTTTATTGATTTAATTACATATTAATAATTAAAAGTAAAAGTTACAATTGGTAAACACATGAGATGAACTGTGTATATGACCTCTTCAAATGAAAATGTAACAGTCCTCTCTTGATATAAAAAATATATATATTTAAAAATGTTAAGAAATGTGATTATTTTTGTGAAAAAAAAATAAGAAATTAGGTACACTTTATTTTGGATGAATAATAATGTAAAAATTGATTGTATCAAGAATTGTAGATGACCTCTTCAAATTCAAATAAAAAAATGTAACTTTCGATATGCTAATTAATACATGCATATTTATTGATTTAATTACATATTAATAATTAAAATAATAGAAAATGTCAAGAAATTCTTGATATGTTAAATAAATGTATTATTATTAAATTATTTACATATTAATAATTAAAAATAAAAAATAAGAAAATGTAACCGTCCTCTCATGCTAGATAAATGCATACTTATTAACTTGATTATATATTAATAATTACAAAAAAAAAAAAAAAAAAAATTACAGTTGATGAACAAATGAGTGAAACTTGTTTATAAATAATAATAATAAAAAATATACACTTTTATAAATAATATATTGATTGAAATTCTTAAGTATGCGTTATGAATATGAAAAGAAAAAAATATATATACACTTTTATAAATAGTATATTGATTGAAATTCTTAAATATGCGTTATAGATATAAACCATCAGTTAATTAATAATGATTGTGCGCTTTTAATGTGGCTTTT